ATGAGGACCTGTGACAAAGTGCAATGACAGAGCTCCAGGGAGGCCTGAGGAAGCAATGGATTTGGCCTAGGCGGAAGTGGGGACAGGCTTCACAGAGAAAACAACACCTGGTCAGGACCTCAGTGGGCAACTGGCTGTGCCAGTAAGAGGAACTGCATGTGCTCAGGGCAGCACATGGAACTGTACGGTGGACTCAAAGGCACCATTCCAGGTGCCACTCCTGGTTCTGTTCAGACCAGACCCAAGGATTATGCCAGCCTACCAGGAAGCTCCTCGTTGTCCCTCTGGGTAGAGTCCAAACCACCAAGGACAGACAGCCTTGCTGGAGGGCTGAAGAAAATCAGGAAAGCTAAGGGGCAGTTTGGCATCGCATGTGTCCTCCTCTGGATGACTCAGCATGAGGTGTACAGGTCAGCTGGAATGAGGCGGCAGTAAGCGCCACACTGCCAGACAGGTCTGCTAGAGGGAGGCCCTGCCCTTTTCCCAAAGGTCAGTGGGAAGTGTCCTACCCTACTGCCTACCCCCAGGAGGAAGGAGAGTATTCCACACCCCTGGACACTTCTCCATCCTTCTAATCCTGGCTCAAAACTCACCTTCTCCAGGAGGCCTTCTCTGCCTACTCCAGCCCTCAGGACTGTCTCTCCCATGAACTCTCAGTCCCAAACTAATTTCTGGCATGCTATAGCCTGTCTTAGCCCCTTATGGCTGGCCATGGTTTTGTAGCACAATCAGCTTCAGCACTGCACTGGCTCTGACAAGTCTGTGGTCTCCCATGACATGTCCCACATGGCACGTCCCAAGGCACTCCTGCCAAGGGGGGCAGGTGGAGGGCAGCCTAGGAGAGCTGGGACTCTGTCTTTCACATTGGAAACCCAGCTTCTCTGCTTGTGTGAAGTTTGTTTGTAAGGGACTTCAAAATCTTTGTGTCATGAAGGGTTAAAATGATATTAAGAGCAGGAAAAAAAGCAACTGTGAGCAAACAGCTCTTGTTAATGACAAGCATGAAGTATTTAGCGATTTATTCTGAAACGCATCAAATGTAAAAGGACTCATGGATGGCCACAAGGATGTCACAGCTTTGTGATAAAGCAAGTAGAACAGCAGTGAAGGGGAGCATCTAGTTATGGGGATGATCACTGTAAAATTCTTTCAAATTTGCTGTATGCTTGAAAGTTTTTCAAAATAAAATACTAGAAAAAATCACACAAACAATAAAGAAATTATGATAGCTCTTAAGTTTCCCACTTGGGCTGGGGATGTAGCTCAGTGGTACAGCGTTTGCCTAGCATGTGTGGGGCCCTTGGTTCACACCTCAAAAGTCTCTAACAGACCTACTGATGAGTCTCAGAGGCTTAGAAGTTACTCCCAGGAAGCCCTCCCAGAGCAGGCCAAGCCTAGGGGAGGCACCCTTCCTCGGAACACGGACTGCCTCAGGCCTACAGTGAACTCGGTGTATAGAAGTCTCTGCTCCAAGCAGTAAGTGGAGCCCTAGGCCCCTCAGACGGCCAACAGACCTTTGCGAATACCATTGCCCAGCTCCTGTTCTCTGCCATCCGAGCGCACCTGGCAAAGAGCTAAGTCCACCGCTAGATGCTCTGTGACCCAGCACCTTCCTGAGAGCAGTGGCCAGTCCTGCCCAGCCAGGTGTCTTCAGTCCCAGGTGGCCCTCCTCCAATACCCATGCCACCCTCCCCATCAACACCTTCCCTATGGGGTCCCCTTCCTCGCCCAGTTCCACCCCTCGCCTCGGTCTCTCCTCCACCCAGCTCCTCTCCCGAACACTCGTATTTCACCCAATTGCCCTCCCTGACCTCAGACAGCTGCTGCTGGCTGCGAACCCTTTTCCCGCTCAGCCCTCCCCGGCTCAGCCCCCCACCTAGTCCTTCCCGCACCAATTTTGCTGGGCCGGGCGTCTCCGCCTGTAGCGGCTGTGGCGAGGAGCGTGGCCAGCGCGACGAGGAGCTGGTCAGAGCGGGTCATGGCGGGCAGCGATCCGGGCAGCGCGCTGGGTCTCCCAAGCTCCCAGGTTGGCGCTCTGCTCCCCTCCCCGCCCTGGCGCCTCACAGGCCGTTCCGCCTTCCAGGACGGTCGTGACCTCTCATTGGCAGAACAGCGGTCCCTCACCAGTACAAAGCCCTCATTAGTTATATCTCTCCCCGGGAGGACCCTATCATTGGCAGCTTATCCGTCCCGCCTCCCGGATGCGGGCTCCTCATTGGCTGGCTCCTTCTGCTCCGGCGCAGGTATGTGCGCCTTCGGATCTCAGCATCAGGACCCAGTCTCAGCTGGCGGAAGATGGATGGAGAAAAAACTAGTTCAGCCTCAGAGACTTACTAGCTCTGTGATGTGCCTTTTCTGTGCTCCTTTTGTTTTCACTTTTATAAAACGGACAGCATAACCCCTGCTGTACCCTTCCAGATGGTAAAGACGATCACGTCAGGTAATGGATGTGAAACCCCGAGGAGTTACGCGTCTGCAAGGGCTGGGAAGTGCTGACCAAGCCGGGGGGCGGGGTGACTAGACGCTATCCTCTGCATCTGCTGAAACAAGACCATATGCTTTGGATACTGAGGTTTTCACCTGTGTTTGCAGTTTGTATATAATTTGTATCTCTGCCTTTTACCGCTTAAAAAAAAAAAAGGGAAGAATTTGATTCACTCTTTTCAGAGAGGAGAAACGATAAGGATATCTTGCCATTTTCATCTTCTAAGAAAACAAGAACAGTGTGGTCAGTACCATACTGTTAAGGACAGATATCCCTTGGCAGAGGAGTAAAGTTAGGGTGAGTTTCAGAATAAGGAGACTCTAGTCATTCAGAATATGGCCAAGAGAAGAAAACTGAAGGCATTCAGAGAATGGTAAATGAATTTATAGCTAGGTTCTAAGTCAGCTTTATGAGTCTTACTAGGTCTAAACTGGATCACTAATAAAGTTGTGGCTGAATTGACACTTTCCTTTTTCTTTTGTGGCGCTGGAGGGATTGACCACACTGAGCTAAATCTCCAGCTCCCTTATTTGAGTCATTTATTTTGCCCACAAATCTGAACTTTGGGTAGAGCTCAGTGAGATCAGCGCATCTGTCCCATGTGGTGTCACCGAGGCTGATCCACTGGGGGTGGATCTAATTTCATGGTGGCTGTTAGGATGGTGCTGGCTCAGCTGAAAGCTGACAGAGCCCTCATTCCACTATACACACTACGTAAGCTTGTTCTTGGCATGATAGTCAGGTTCCAAGGGTGAGCTGTTTAAGATAGGTGAGGTTGTTTTTAAGGTTTTGGTCCAGAAATGGACAGTGTCATTTCTATTGGATTCTACTCATCAAGCAATCATAAAGCTCCAAGGACATTCAAGAATAGATATAACCCCTACCTCTCAATGTGTCAAGAAACTCTGGAATTATGTTTTAAAACTACCACAGTGAACTTGAGAGCACTGACAAAGTTTTAATGGATAGGAACAAATATATTGATTGCCTGGTGCTGGGAATGGGGGAAACAATGGATTATGGAACCAGGGCCTACAGACAGGCCTTGAAGAATGAAGAAAATTCAAAGGCAAATCTCAGGAAAGGACAGCTCCAAAGAGGGTCATTTAGCCAGGAAGCTGAATATATGGGAGCCAATTAAGAAGAGGAAAAGACAAGCTCAGGTAGTCAGAAGCTGGGAAGAACACCGGGAAACTGAAGGTCAGATTGAGGCCAGATGCGAGCAATCTGCTTAGGAGGATGGTCAGCAGAAGTGCAGTAAAGTATGTAAGACAACTAAATTAAAAAGCGAACACAAAGAAGAAAATAAACCAAGAGGTAGAGACTTCCACATGGAAGCAGGGTATAGAAAACATACACAGAATGAATGCACTTTGCTGTGTTAAGATCTTAAGGCACTTTTTTTTTTTTTTTTTGGTACCGGGGATCGAACTCAGGACTTTGTGGTTTCAAGGCAGGCGCTGACACCACTGAGCTAAATCCCCGGCCCTTAAGGCACTTTTCCTGAGCACCCCCATGGGTGACCAGCAGTCAACGAAGTATACTTCTTGAACCAGGCAGACAAAGCCTCTAAACACATGAACTGGGGCTGGTGGCTGTGGATCAGGGGTACAGCATTTTCCTAGTGTGAGAAGCCCTGGGTTTGATCCCCAGAACCACAAATGAAAAAATACCACTTGGACTGCAGTTATTTCAATTTGGGTTTTATTACATTTCTGAATATTACATTTCATCCTTAGTTTTCCTTATTTGCCTTTTGCTGTAGTGTTTTAAGAACCTCTGTTCATTCATATTTTTTGTCATGAATTAGCACCAAATATAAAACTTATCAGTGCCAAAATGATTCCTTTATGACAGTAAAGTCAATGAAAGATTTGTAGAATCTCAGTACTAATAGTACACCAAAATCCCCCCTTCAAGTGAGGAAAAGTTTCCTTATGTCACCTACAAGCTAATGTCTTCCCACTTTATATATATAAAGATGAAGATAAGAGCATGAGCATAATTTTCTTTCTTGCTTCTTCAGTCTAAAAATATGTTGCTTTGGGCTGGGGATTTAGTTCAGTGGTGCCGCCACCTGCCTTGCAAGTACAAGGTCCCAAGTTCGATCCCTGGTAGTGCCCCCCCCCCCCCCATGTTGGTTTAGTAACAACCTTGGGCCCGGGGATTTAGTTCAGTGGTTCCACCACCTGCTTTGCAAGCACAAGGTCCCAAGTTTGATCCCCAGTACCAAAAAAAAAAAGCTGTCTTTTTTGTTGTTGTTGTTAAAAGAAAACAAAAAATAAGAACTGGAAGGAAAATAAGCCACTGCGAATGACTAGCTTACAATATTTAAAAAATAATCACCCTTTAGGGAGTCTTCCTCTTTCCATACACTTTAGGCAGCTATAAAAATGCAGAAAAAAATAAAAATAAATATGAAGGCCTACTGTAGTAGGCAATTTACACATTTCACTTAATCCTCACAGTATCATGAGAGAATTATCATTTTATAAACAAACTCAGAAGAGTGAAATGACTGTTGACCAAAGTTACACAGGTGACAGAGCTGAAATTTATTTACAAATCTATGCCTAACAAGCCTTATCTCTATTATACTGCTCTGGCTCCCTGAAGCCCTCCAATTTGACATTTTTACTATTACAGCTTTATCTTCTAGTTCTAAACACACACTTTAAGTTTGCAAAATTACTGAATAACAAAAGAACCTAAAAATTATTCTCAATCTACTTGCAAAAACAGGAGGTAAAAAACTCTTTAGGTAATCAGAACATTTCATACATAAAATTATGGCTAATTCCAGTTCATTGATATGATTGCTAGTGATCCTCAAACCCACATGGCTAATTGGCTCCTTTTCTTATTGTCACCATCTGGCAATATGACAGGAATTAAGGCAAAAAAGGACTAATTCCTAATGTAAATTTGATTATTCATTAAATTTACAGTATGCATTTAGAGGAATTCCAAAAAAATCTTTTGGTTCCATTTTAAGAGTGCATGTTTCCTTGTCCATGTCCCCCCACCCCTGCTCTATACACTGAGTTATACCATCCCCAGTCTCCATGTGCTTTTTGAAAATCTGATGGAGACGGTAATATTTAGAGGATGGCTTTATTGTTACATGTCTGTGTAGTATATTTATCTCTACTGTCGAAGAGGATAACTAACCACTCCAAAATATGACTGTAGGAGACCAGTTTATAGTTCAGGAGGCCATATAAGACTCAACTATCTGGCCCTTCTTTGAGTCTCACATGCATACATATATAATAATGAAGTATGTTTTTTCTCCATCTTATGTCAGTTTAATTCACAGCGTAGTCAAGGAAACTTAGAAGGGTGAAAGGAAGCCAGTTTTGCTTCCCTATAGGGTTTTGGAGTTCCAGAGGAAGTGGACTTTGTGGCAATGAATTTACACTGTACATCCAACAACTAATTGTCTGCTGGGGACATATTTGCATGAATATTAATCTTAAATTATTGAACATAATGTCTACGTGTTCCATATTAAAATTATTATTGAGATTTTCTCCTTTGAGTCCAGTCCTAAATAGAGTAAATACTCATAACTCAGAAGAAACAGAAAGGATAGAATTAGATTAAGGCCTCTTCTAAAATTAAAATATCTCCAAGACTTCTAACATCTGACTGATGTATTATTCATTCACTTAGTCATTTCTTGGACACAGCTTTTACACAACACTAGCTACAAAGACTGAAAAAGATACACAGGTCTACTATGTTCAGGAGGTTAATGCATAAAAGAGGAACTAGATGTTTACACAAATGTAAGTTTTGATGGATATAAATCCTAGGAAATAAAGTGACAGGGCTAGAGAAATAACTCAGGAGCACAGCATGCTTAAGACCCTGGGTTTGATTCCAAGCACCACAAAAATGAAAAAATAAAGGTTGTCAGTGTAAGAGAGGTAGTGATTTGTGAGTACCAATTAAACAAACACACAAAACCCAAAACATAGAGAACTGAATGAAATGAGAAACTGTGGAAACCTAATGTTTTTGTCCAGATCACCGTCCTTTCATAATCCAATTAAGTATAGTATTCCAAAGCAAATTTGACAAAAGTGTAGTCAGGGCAGGTGGAACGAGCAGCTGTAGATAATTACCTATACAGACTCATTTGAGTCATTAGCTGTCGGTGCTGTTTCAGTGTGCCCGAAATTATGATATATTTAGAAAGGCTGAAAATAATTCTCTGCTGAAAAGGGAGGTATCTCAAATTGCTTGATGCTCTCTGGTTCCAAGTCTAGCCTGACCTTTCTGCCCTTCCAATTGGAGCTGGAAAGGGGTGAGTATGGAATAATGATGTGAGTACAAAGCCTAGCAGGTACCACAAAGGATGGTTAAATGAAAAATAATAAAACAAGAAAGGAAGTCCTGAAAATCCACGTATATAAAAATCAACCCACGTGATCTAAATTTTTATATAAGTGTAAAGCTTTATCATCTAAGTACCCACATGTTGACTCAATCTCTACTGTCTTTTTCCACAAATACATGATATTGTACTAATTTCAATGATTAGCTGAAGAAACATAGTTAAGAGAATTTTGGATTCAAAGTCAATCAGAGTACCAATTTAAAAATAATTTTTGTAAACATATTTTGATAAAGGCCATAGGAACATTTGTCTCATTGTTCAAATGCCTGATGGTAAAGACTTCTGATGAGACCAAACGGGTCACATAAAATCAACAGAAATATCTTAGAAATAAAGCCAATATGACTATATCCAAAACATCACATGAAGTACCTCATGTACAATACAAACCTAGGTTAATAAATAAAGGAAACACAGGTGACTGCACCCTGGGAGAATATTCTGTTCCTGTTGGTCTGTTCATAGTCTCTTCTGAGACTCCACTGCCACTTCCACCTGGGCAAGTCTAATGGTGCGGCCATGAAGTTTGTAGCCATCTTGCCTTACTAACGCCACAGTGCCAGGCTGCACCCCAACGCCAGCTGGCACATGACAGATGAGTTCATGCTCATGGGGATCGTATTTGTCACCAATGGGTGCCATCTTCTCCAGACCATGCTTGGCAAATACACTTTTCAGCTTTGCTTCCAGAAGTGACAACCCTCGGAAGACTTTCTCCAGAGTGAGCTTCTGGTCCCCAGCCTTTGTTTCTTCGGAAATACACTCAGTAGTCTTCTCCAAAATGTCTGCCACCTCCACCAAGTCCTTACAAAAACTTTGGATTCCTACAGAGAAACCAGACACTTATGTTTATGAGGAAATCACTCTGCCTTTAGGGGTGAAATCTGCAGCAGGCCCAAATACATGGTTAGTATACTTTACCCTGGCACTCCAGAAAGTGGGAAGGCTGTCACACAGGGATCATCGCTCCTTACCACCCCAACCCGAATGATGAGTCAGTCTCTTTCAGAAGGTATATATGACCAGGAACCCTTCTGGGAAATGGGGTAAAGGTTTGAATCCATGAACTAGGTTAAGCTTACCTACAATAAGCTAAAAAGTCTGCCCTTTTAAAATTACTACTTTTCTGCTTCTTGTATTTTTGTTGCTATTCACCTTTAGTATTAAGTTATGAACATTTAAACATTCTTGCCTGTGTCACTTGTGCCAAAGCCCCATTTTCAACAGGGACAGGGTATTATCAATTCATGGGAGGTAGGAGGGGGTGGCAATACAAAAGGCAACACTATGTTAAGGTTGTCAAAGGGTGGTTTATTCTTGAGGACTGGCTAATATAGCAGGAAGGTAAGATACTTTTAGATGTGCTATCTCTCAACTACTTTGCTATGAAGTTGCTAGAGATAGATCACAAAACTTTTCAGAATCACATGAAATGTTACAAGATAAAAGTAAGCTCCGTTATTAAGAAATCCCATTCTTTCCAGTTCTGCAACTTGATTATTCTTACATAGAAGAGAGTAAGAAGTTCCATCATTAGAAATGTTTATGATACAATACTTGGTGGGGGTTTGTGAGGGGCAAGGACTTTGTTAATCTCAGGGACAAGTTTAAGGCCCTGTGCCAAAATAGGTGGCACCTTAACCATACTCAAAGGTAAGAAGGGTCAGCCGTAGGTAAGCAGTAAGGTACGACAGAGGAAAGATCTTTGAAGACTTACTGCCTCAATGGGAAAGAAGGACTCAAGGAGAAGGAAGAATTCTACCTTTAACTGCCAGGCACCAATAGATCTTGTAGGGCTTCTTGGGGAAAACATGTGTGGAAGTCTGATTCTTATCAGCTGAGTAATAGCACATATAATGGATTGGGGGCTATGACAAATAGGGTCAGAAGGAAACACCAGGAAAGCCAACTGAAGTAATCTACATTGGTTATGGTTTAGCCTGATGTGAGAGTGAAACCAGAAGGCATTTCTAGAAAATAAGCCTTGCTAACAGAATTTTGGTGGTTTTACTCTTTTTTTTTCTTTCATGGTGCTGGGGATCAAACCCATCCCCATGTGCTAGGCAAGTGCTCTGCACTGAGCTATACCTACAAACCTTCTAAAAGAATTTTAAAAGCGGCAAGTTTCTGAGCTGTACACTGCCAAGGTACAGAGACCTTGCTTCTAGTCAGTGAAGTCTGTGAATATGGTTAAACAGAAGCTTACATTTTCTTGTCTGTTAGATGAGGACTCAAGTTCCTGATTCTGTTCTAATTACTGTATTATGTTAACAGATTGATGATGATCACATAACCCGTTAGAAAACTGACCAGTAAGTTATATTATGAGGGGTCGGGGATTTAGCACTGTGCCTGCCTTGTAAGCGCAAGGTCCTGAGTTCGATCCCTGGTACCAAAAAAAAAAGTTATGGAGACAAAACTATCCTTGGAAGGTCAGAGATATCATGCTATATCCTGTAGAAATATTCTACTAGCTGTATGTGGTGGTGCACGCCTATAATCCCCCAGCTGGAGGGCTGAGGCAGGAGGATTACAAATTCAAGCCCAACCTGGGCAATTTAGGTACTAGGTGAGAACCAGGTCAAAATAGAAAATAAAAAAGGGCTGGGGAGGCAGCTCAGTGTAAAGGCTCTGAGATCAATCCCAACACCAGAAAAAACAACAACAAACAATTACTTTCCTTCTACCTCCATACTCACCTAGTAACTTTTAATTTTTAAGTACTTCTGGCCACTGGGAGGAAAACCTAAGCAAATGACTTAGGTGGCATCTTTTGCTATAAGTTAGTAAGTCAGATTAACTATCAAATTCTTTTGAATTTAACATGGATTTGTTCCTGGGAATTTTACTACTTTTTAAGTAAACTGACATAAGCTAGTTCTAATTCAAAGCTCAACTCTTAATAAAAAAGTCTACCTACACTCTCCCCTCAAGCAGGAGTTATAGCAAAAGTCTCTCCCTGTTATTATAGCCAGCCTGTTTGGTAGAGATTCCCACTGCTCAGAGGGCAGCAATTTTTTCCTGTAAAAGGCCATACAGTAAATATTTTAGACTTTGTGGGACAAGAGGCAAAATAATGGGTCTTATAGAGGTGACTATATAACAAAAGAGAAAACAAGTTTCAACGAATTTTAAAGGATGAAATTCAAAACTACAGACTAGCTGGTGGCAGGCTACAGTTTGCTAAGTCCTGCTGTAAAGTTAGAAATAAGAGATTAAAACTTGGTTGAAGTATCAGGAACACAATTTGTGGCTTAGTACTGCATTGACACTAAAAGCATGAGGTATAAAGCACTGAGCAAACAGCAGAGGCTATGCCAAAGCAATGAAATGGGACAGGACAGAAGTGAAGAGCATAACAAATTTGTGCACAAGGTAATTCTGTGCACAAATAGCAGATCAAATCCAGGTAACAGGAAGGAAAGTGATACAGGGACTGGACAAGGCAACATCAAGGGGATTCTCAAACACTTTCATTCTATGTATGATGCCAGAAAGCACAATATTCCATATGAAATTCAAAGTATGGCAAGTAAACACAGATTTGCTCCCTGCTCCCGAATCCTGGTTATTCAATTAACACTTTCTCAGAAACTTCTGGAACCAGATATGGTATGGTTAGGGTAAAAGTTCTGAAAAACTATTAAATTTCTTCCATGAAAAAATACATGGGGTACAGGACAGCCTTTTAAGTTATCTGATTCTGTGATCTGAGCTGAGCTTTCATCTTTAAGCTACTTTATAACTCACCAAGTTGTAGACTGAATCTGATTATTGACAATAAAGCAAAGGATTCTTGTCTATAGCTGTGAAAATCATCTGGTGGAGATATTGTTGATTTTTGTCCTATGGATATAGACCAATCTTGCTTCCATTAAGCAAATTTCAGCATTCCTAACTACCCTTCTGCTTGCTCTTTAGATTTTCCTGAGTGTCTTAATGTTTCACATTAATTAGCTAAACAGAATTGTTCGTATAAGCACTAGAATGTTTGAACTGTAGTAAATGTACATGCTTAGAAAGTAAAGGTTTGGTTAAAAGAAAATCCAACATTATTTTAGCAAATGGTTAAGTGACACTGTTCCTGCTAAGTGGCACAGAAAGCCTAAGGGAATGGAAGGGTAGGAGAGGGATCCATTAAGGACTCAGATATATTTTTACCATGTTCAGTTGGCAAATCTGCTAAGTATGTACCCTTTGATTGAAATATATTTTATTATGAATAAATGTCTCACCAAATATCTTGGCATCTTCCACACATCTCTGGGTTCGTCTCCTGATGTTTTCACAATCAGCTACAGCTCTCTGATATCTCAGCTGAACATCAAAAGCAAAATCAAAAGGATTAGAAAACAAATGCTTCTCTTTTTTACTTTTCTAAATAAATTTCACCTCTGTGCTATGTTTTTGTTTGTTTTTTGGTACTGGGGATTAAACTTGGGACACCTTGCGCTTGTGAGGCAGGCGTGTGCTGTGTTTTTATAAAACAAACTACAAATTGTAAAAATCTTACATTAACTACTCCAAATCCCCAGTCAAAGCAGGAACTTACTCTAGGAGCTCTGGTAAGTAGTCATTTAGCCTGGTAGCTTGAACATAATAATTTTCCAGCTCATTATCTTGAGAAAAAGTTTTCTGTCTCACATTTGCCTAACACCACTAACCTCCAACTTTCTTTCACTGACTTAGCCCTAGAACTGAGATTAAGTTTTACAAGTATGTCATCTATTTGTGCTTATTTTAGCCCTTTTCACCTGCATTCTTAGAATTCCTGATTCCCTCAATTGGTCTCATAAGACATGCTTTCAAGCCTCCATATCATGCTAAGTAAGGTCAGACTTTGGGATTACTCTGGTTTATCTATGCATCTCCTGCAAGGAGTGTCAACCCGAGACAGTATAGTATGCCACATGTGGTCTGCTCAGCAGAGTACAATGGTCACTGACCTCACAAATTCAACTGACATTTATTGACTGTCTACTACCTGTAAGGCACTGTACCTCCTTAAAATTGCCAAAATGTCAGATGTATAACTGCTGTGACACAACAGGAAACTAAAAAGAGATAACTGTCCGTAGCCAGTTATAGTTAATTAATAATAGCCAGTTAATTAATAGTTAATTACTACTGATTCTTTTTTGCCCAGAGCAAACCTCATTTTTAAGTGGATATAAAAATTTTACTTGGTGGGCCAGGGATTTAGCTCAGTGGCACTGCGCCTGCCTTGCAAGCACAAGGTTCTGAGTTTGATCTCTGCTACCAGGAAAACTTTTTTTTTTTACTTGGTTATTTAAGTCACAGAAAGAAAGTGAAGAATAGATAATATGAAATCTACTCACTGTTAAATCCTGGACTTCTTTCTCTAGTTTAACAGCTTTTAACTTTAAGGCTCGTTCAGCAAGAGAGGGCCCAAGCTCATCAGGAGGGTCCTCAGAACCGCAATCCTCACCTGCAGTTCTCTGGGTGGCAGTGCTAAATGGGTGCAGCCATCCCCTAAAGCAGGTGTGAGGTGGTACATGAAGAATAAATGCCATTATAAAAAGGCAAAACAACAAAATTTAGAGACCAGAAAGTTCCCCATAGTGAATCTCTAGAGACTGTTTTGAGTCACAGTGATAAATAAACACTATAAAGTCCTTACTAAGTAATGTGTACTGTTTAACCAGCATCCTCTTTTTATTTCACAGTACATGAGCTAATCACTACTGTTTTTAAAGAGCTTTTAAAAAATAATTTTATTGATATGTAATTCTCAGCCATATAATTAATCATTTAAGTGTACAATTCAAAAGTATTTAGGATATTCAGTTGGGCAAGCATCAGAATTTTAGAACATCTTTATCACCACAAGAAAAAGCTTATAACTACTAGAAGTTGTTTTCCATTTGTACCCAAATCTTGTGCTCTGAGAAAGCCAAACATATTTTTTGTCTTCTATAGATTTGCCTTGTATGGATGTTTAACATAAATGAGGTCATATATGTGGTCATTTGGGAGTATTCTGGTTTGGGTTTAAGGTTCATCCATGTAACTGCATTTGTCAGTAATTGGTTATTTTTATTGCTAGGTAATATTTCATTGTGTGGATATGCCATTTTATCCATCTGTCAGCTGATAGACATTTGGGTTGTTTCCATTTTTTTGCTATTATGAATAGCTGTTACTCATAACATGAGATAAGTGCTATTATCATCTCTATTTTACTGACGAAGAAACTGAAGCCGAGAGGCTGAAGGCTTAATGACTTGTTCAAGATCACACAGGTAAGCTGGATAAAGTGGTGTGTGCTTACAGTTTCAGCAACTGGGGAGGGGGACATGAGAGGATCATGAGGCTACCTGGGCAACATAGCAAGACCCTGTCTCTAAAAAAGCAAACAAATCACAGGCCACAGAGCTAGCATTCTGTTGAGACAGAACACTGAGCATCAGACAGTAGAAATATCCACAAATGAGTACACAAAAGTCACCAAAGAGGAAACCAAGACTAATTCCCAGAACCAAAGGGGCAATACCAGAAGTGAAAATTCAAAACCACAGTTATAGTTTGGTTCTACCCTTCATCTTACAGAAGGAGAAAATTAGTTCTAGTAAAGGGAATTAAGCAGTGTTCTAAGCTTTCTTGACCACAATTTATAATGCTTTCAGGGAGGAGAACCTGCACTGAGAAAGAAATTCTGAGTTGGGAACTCACCTATTTGTAAAATGAAGTCAATGAAATACTTATAAAATACTGTATATTACAGCCTCTGGGCTGTAATATGTGACTAAAACTGATCCTGTATTCAACCAGTCATGTAATCTAGAATTTGCATAGGTAGTGAAATTAGCTAAGGCTTGGACATAACCGGACATAAGTCCTTAAATAACAAAGTGCTTTAGTTATCTTTCAGGAAGTATCTCCAGAATCCATTCAAAGTCAGTTTGAAACTGGATTTTCAGGAATGGACATGTGCAGAAGCCAGCTGGTCCAGTTAATGACCTTCTGATGTCATAAGCTCAAAATCTTCCGCATAGATCATAACTCCTTCCTGAAAAGGAACATGTGACCTGTGAGGAGGCATAATGATTACGCTTGTACAAAAGAACCCTAAAACTTCCCTTTCTCACTAATCAAGCAGCATCTCCCATTCTCCTTTTCTATAAATTCCTCTATTACCAACCAATGGGGGAGGATTGATTTGAGGAATCTACTCCTGACCTCCCTACCAGCTGATCTTATAATAAAGTTTGCTCTTTTCTCCACTTGATCTTAGCCAAAAGGCCGAGAAGCGATGAATTTGTTCTTTTCTTAAAAACTGGTGTGCCACAGTACTGGCTTCTATGCATGTAGGGCACAAAGGCCTTGGTTGATTTCACTAAAATGTTGGACATTTTACAAAGGAAGAAATTTAGAGTAGGGGCTAGTTTATAACAGATCTTTCACTATGACAGTTCCAACTCCTAGTTTAACAAAGTTTCTATTAACACTTGTTGATCTTGGTAATTTGATTTCTGGTAAAATTATCAAGAAACTTAATCTGTGGATATAGGAGCTCTTTAAAACAAATAGTTTATTTATATGAACAGGCATATAATTGTGGTCACTAAGGTGACGTCTGGGTAAAGAGTTTGTGTTAAGAAAGAGGAAGAACATGCTGGGCAGAGCGAAGAGCTAGTTTATAGGTCTGGACAAGAAAACTTATCTCCCTGACTTTGCAGGTTGGTCTTGAATTCAATTATTATGATGTGCTGTTCTGAATTTTTGGTTCAAAAAGTATGGTCAACAAAGATCTGTGGTAAATTACACATGGTGAAATATCTTATTCCCCATAAAAAACCACATTTATCCAACTAAAAGCAGGTCAAAATACCTCAGGGCCAGTTTGAGAAGAAAATGGCTAGACCTCAGATTATGAAAGAAGTTGGAGTGGATCCCAATTCCTATTCCTTCAGAACAGGACTGGGAGGAATCTTTCAAGAAGGAACTATTTTTCTTTAGATCACCAACAAACTCTACATCATCAACAAACTGCCAGAAAACTTGAAATAAAACTCTCCCCTGCTCCCATTTAAATTTTCACTTTGGTGTTAGGACAGGGTGTTGAATCAGGTGTGTTAATATAAAAAGGTTGACAAATAGTTATGCAAATTTCCGGGATTTCCCTGCAGCAAAATTTACATCCAGAGTTCCGACCCTATTGCATATTCACCCAATTTTATTCTTTTCCAGGAACAGCCTCTGACAATAATCAACATCACTCAATGAAAGCGCTGTTTCTAGAGCCCTGCCTAGTTTCCACTTCGGGGTCTACCAGTTCCTGAGAATTTATGTCTGGAAAAGTTACTCAATTTTTTTAGACCTCAGTTTCTTCAATTATTAAATGGAAAATAATTCTGCAGTAGGTCAAAGATCTAATAAAAGTCAAAGGCAGCAAATGAAATTTCACAGTATCTCTAAAGCGGATCAAAGGGCTGTTGGGGGAAAAGCGGTCCAATGCTCTCTTTAACCAACAGGTAAAATGATGACGGGGGAAGGGGAATGGGCTGGCCTAAGGTCACATGGAGTCAGGGCAAGAGCCCAAACACAACCACGGACACCACTGAAGAGAAGGGCCCGAGAGAGAGGTACATCTGCAATTCAGTCGAGGCACTTCTCACCTTCCAGGACATGACCTCGGGCCCACGCATCTCCTTCAGTTTGGGAAACAGGTGCGCCTCAGTTTCCCTCTCCGTAAAATGGGGCAGTCAATGCCGGGTCAAAGAGGCCGAAAGGTTTGGCGCGTCTTTTTGGCCTTCGCCAAATTAACTCTCACCTTCACCCCACAGCCTTCCTTCATAGCCTTAAGGTCTCTGACCCCTCCCGCATCGCTTACCTGCCCTCAGACGAGGTACTGGAAGCCAGTAGGCGCTGTAACAGCCGCCGGACCGCCCACAGCGACCGCGCGGCCATGTTCCAGACCTGAGAGGACCGATGCAGCGCAAGCGCACTCACTCCAAATGAAGAGCTGTTCTCGCTTAAAAACCACGCCTCCCGGCAGCCTTTGCAAGCGTTTCCTCTCGGGATTTTCGAACAGGAACGCTGCACTTCCGGTTTTTAGGTACCCTGCTCTGTTCCTCGGGAGAAAACGCTTCTGGTTCTTAGCGTGGTGGGGACACTTCTTAACTACGAGGCTCGATGCTAGGCGCGGGATTCGTGGCCAACAAAGCGCGATATAAAATCAAAATATAACCGGTGTTTATAAAAGTGAGGGTCATAGTGCTGTGGAAAAGGGCTGGAGAGGGCCAGATCACGTGAATGAAGGAGTCTACATCCTCTTTCCCCCATTTTTCTTCGTTTTTACGCCGATGCCTGTATTTTCTAACTTAAAAAAAAAAAGTGTAGTATCTCGTTTTTTCTTGGCAAAAATAGAAGTTCCATCGGGGCAGAAATACTGTATTTTGTGGTCATTCGCAATGACTACTTTAGGTTCTCAACATTCCCCCCCCCTTCTGTTGAATGAACCTTATTCTGATTACAATGAGTACATGTGTCAAAATCTTTACATATTTTAAGAGTCACTTTGTTGGAGGAGCAGACTGCAGAATGTAAGAAAAGAGGTAGGGGAGACAAGCTTTTCCAATAATAGCCCAGGCAAGAGAGATATCTTCTGTCTTGGTATTACTGGGTAACCCTTAGTGTTAAATAAATGGCTAGATAAGTAAGTAAATAAATAAAAAGAGGGAATGGGGCATGCTTCTTCAGTACTCTGAATCGTCGCCAAAGTACGCGTTGCTTCTCGCAATTTGAGTTAGATTTTCCCTCCTGCTTGACCCTGAATTCTAAGTACAGAACTGGAATCTTAAGCGCTTTTATATCTCAACCAAAGCCCAGATCACAAATGTCATAACCAACGTCTTATGTTTTTATTTTTTGGTACCGGGGATCGAACTCGGGACTTTGCACTTTCGAGGCAGGCGGTGGCACCACTGAGCTAAATCCCTGGCCCTGTTTTTGTTGTTTTTAAAATGTCTTAGGAGAAAAGCAAAATGGCTTAGGGAGGGGATTATGGGGGTTATGAATCCCTTTTACGTATGAGAAAACTGGGGCTCAGGGTGATTGGTGAGTATCCAGTGACAGGAGGGTTCTAACAGACCAAAGTGTTGGGAAGAGTGGAGCTTTAAGCTCACCTCAGCCCCCTGGTCTGTAGTTTGGAAAAACAAACAAAAAAACCCCCACGACCAAATAAGGGATTTTAACAAGAGTAAGAATTAGCACCTGTGCTTTAGCTGTTTTGCTTTCATTTCTTTTAGCTGCCAACTTACCCAAGTGTGCTGCATACATGCAGCCATTAGTGTATCTGTTTATTAAATGCTACTCCTGAATGCTGCAGTGCAACAGGAGGGAGATACACGAAATAGAGCTTTGGAGTCAGGAGGGCTCTAAGATCAAAGTGAACTGCAAAAAGTGGGATAATATAACCCATCTCAAAGGATTTTAGTGGTAACTAAAGGAATAATGCCTGCAAAACTGATTAGCGCCAGGACTAGCTATGTAATTTAAGGCACAAGAGGAAAACAGCATTTGTTCAAAAATTATTAAAGGGAAAAATTATGAAGGCAACAATGCAAAATCAGATAGGCCCTTCTGAGTATGGGACCCTGTGTGACTACACAGGCTGTGTGCTTAGGGCTTGGTTCTGGCTAACAATGCCTGCGTGGTACGTACTCCATACATGTTAATTATTAATGATTTAAAGGCTCTCCTCTTGAATCCAGATATATTGGCAGAAGAGATTTAACCTCAAAATAGCTGCATAAAAATGTGACAGATATTGAGGGTATTCTTGTGGATGCCATTTAGTATATGTATTTTGGTACCGGGGATTGAACTCAGGTCCTTGCGCTTGCGCAGCAGGTGGCAAAACCACTGAGCTAAATCCCCGGCCTAGTATATGTATTTTTAAAAAAGAAAATTGGCAATCCAGAGTATGTGAGCTCTTTTGTTACTGGAGAAACTGAAATGGGATTTGTATGAAAACTATGTTTGGATTGGTTGCTTTTTTTTTTGGAGATAGGTTCTTGTTCTTGTAGTCCAGGCAGGTCTTGAACTCCATCCTCTTGCCTCAGCCTCCAGAGTGATGGGATTACAGGCATGCCTGGCTTGGATTGGTTGCCTTTTAATGCCTGTAATTGCCATTTAAAAGTCATTTCTTCTTAGTAGAAAGAACAGACTTCTGAGTCAGACTTCTTATGTAGCCACCACTGACTTGTTTCCTATTGTCTGACATCAAGCAAGATGCTTCTCATGTATTATCTCACTAAATCCCCCTATCAGTTGGAGGGAAAGTATAATAGTTAATCTTGTTTCACAGATAAGGAAAGCAAAAATCAGGTCCAGTGATTCTCCTAAGGCTACCCAGCAGGTATACTGGAAAGGCAGCATTCAAACCCAGGGCTATTTGGATCATAACCCCTAAATTATGTGCTCTGCCAGTGAGCAGCTGGGGGATTTTGGTCAGATTATTTTTCCTGTTCTGGCCTCCAGCTACTTCAGAGTGTGGTAGTTTCAGTTAGGCTGAAGTACGTTAAACTTTAGGTGGATTAACTGTTGAGCATCTGACAAAATGTTCACAAGTTCTTTTGGGACTTCCCGTTTTCCCCCCTTGAGCTAACTGTTGAGCTCTATGAGTTAATGGTTTTATCTTTATTGGAGAGAAACACGTTAAAGACAGACCCATAAAGTGCCTAGAGTGTGAGACAGTAGTGAGTGGCATAAAAGAGGCCGCTTAGGACCTGAGGTCCTGCACCACATATAAAAGTATCAAGTGTTTGTAAAAGGCTTAGCACCTATGTGGCAGCAAAGCACCACCATCCTCTGGTTGTCTAGTTTTGCTTTATAGCAGATACAGAAGGGCAGGGTGGTGGGCCTCCCAGTGTGATAGAAGAACTTCATTAGGACAAAGACATAGTTCTAACTATAGCTCCAGGAGTGTCAGTGTCATATAAAATAAAGGACTTGACTTGGCAGCAAATGACCCTATTGTCCAATGCCTTCAACATCCTATGGACATTAGAACTTCATGTTCCTATCACTGTGAGCTTAAAATACATCAGTTGATCAAGTCTCTTTGCCCTCTGGGTACTCAGGTATTTGATTTTAAAATATTCAAATCTAGAAGTTTCCAGTAGCTGCACTCTGCTTAGATCTAAAACAGATGAGGAGTGATTGCAGGATTGCATGTTATTGATGGCTCTCATTCACTTTTGTGCAGGCAGGGATAATGTTACCGATTTTGCAGGCCATCTGCGTTGCCCACAGGAAATGTGGTTGGCACAAGTGTGATCGGAACCAAGTCCTTTCTCTTTATACCGCACCACTGATGTTTCAGCATTGCCCTCCTTTGCCTTAAGGACTGGGAATGGGAGGCTGAGATGGGATGGAATGGCTTATTCACATGTGCTTTCATTTCTTCTTCAGAAGGGAAGGCAAAGATAGCTAACAAAACCTTTAAGGTTGCACAGACTTTTGTCCCCCTCCACCCTCATTTCTACCCATTGTAAAGTCAGAAGTATGCCCTCCACTCCTCTCTTTCCTTCTGCTTTTTCCTTCCCCAGGCCCCTAAAATCACAAAGACTAATAAAGGACAGTCTTCTGTGTGCCCCAGAGAGTGGGGGCTACTTCCAGTCTTCTCCTGGTGTCTCTGGGAAAAAATCATTTCTGCCTTAGGTGGACAAGCTGATACTTCTTTTGGAATGAAATCTTCATCCTCTTTCTAGGTCTTCTTCATTTCCCATTCCTGAAGTACAAAAAGACAAGACACATCAGGCTCTTAACTGTTCTAATGTGACTGCTGGATTAAAAAACCATTTTACTGTATTTAAAGATTTCCACTGGGCAGGTTAGAGACCCTTGGGTCCTGATCCTACTCAGTATCTTTGTGGCTCTCAGCAAGTCACTTCATTATGCTGATCTATCTTGTCCCCTCTTCCATTTTCAACATAGTAGCCAGAATGGCTTTTGGAGGGTAGTGGTACTGGGGATTGAACCCAGGGTCTTTATGCTGAACTACATCCTTATAATTTTTTTTTTTTAATTTGAGCAAGAATCTCACAAAGTTGCTAAGTTTCCTATACTGGACTTGAAATTGTGATCCTTCTAGATCCTTTAGCCTCCTAGAGAGGTGGAATTATAGGCATGTGCTACTGTGCCCAGCTCAGAATGCCTTTAAAAAATGTAATTCATATAAAAAAACCTTATTCAAATCTTTCCAGTGACTTTCCATTATGTTAAACAAAATTCATAGTTCCTCCAATGGCCTGCAAGTCATAAAATAAAGGATTGGCTAATTGTGGCCCAGTGGTCAAATCTGTCTTGTCTGCTTTTCTATAACCTATGAGCCAAAAATGCTTTTCATATTTCTAAATGTTTGGGAAAATAAATCAAAAGAAGTATATTTCATGACAGGTGAAAGTGATATGAAATTCAAGTTTCAGCACCTGTCAATAATATTTTATTGAGACACAGCCATGTTTTTTACTCCTTTACCTATTGTCCACGGCTTCTTTCATGTTATAATTGCAGAATGGTTGTGAAACTGACTACAGGGTTGGCAAATTCTGAAATACATACTGTCTGGCTCTTTACAAAAATAGTGTGCTGGCCCCTAGTCTCAGTGACCCAGGCCTTGGCTGGTGACTTCTCGTCTCATCTTCTAGTGCTCGCCTTTGGTTCCCTTCACCACACTCACTTGGACCTGCTTGATGTCAAGTGCCAATCTTTTCCCGCACTTCAAAGACTTGGCACTTGCTCCTGTCTCTTTCTGGGTCACCCTTCCCTCAGATCCTCACAGGGCTCCCTCTGTCATACCCCATTCAGGCATCAGCTTATGTGTCACCCCCTCAAAAGGGCCTTTGCTGTCACTGTCATTAAAACAGCCACCTCCATTCTTTGTCACCTTCTCTTCCCTTTCCTTTTATGTCAAAGTACTTATTACCACTTGGCCTCATATTCTATATTTATGTGTGTATTTATGTTCCCAGCTCCCTAAGAGAAGGGATTTGTTTTGGTTCTCTGCTATATAACTTTTCATCTTAAAAGAGAGAAAACTCATTATTCTCCACATTTCTTAGCTAGTTAACTGAGGTCCTCCCGTCTCAAACTATCTTTCCAATCTCATCTCCCAGCAATTTGTCTTATGTTATGTGCTGCTGCCAGGCAGGTCTCAGATTCAACTTCAGCAAAAGCTTCTCTCTGATGTGCTGGACATTTGTTTTTCAGGTCCATACTTTCTTATTTGCAATTCTGAAACCTAGAAAGCTCTGAAACCAACATATTTCTCAAGTGTTTTGGCATAAACTCATTGGGTGGCAAACCCTGGCATGGAATGATGTGAGGCTGATTACAATCTTCATTCCATGTGGTGTGAAGGTTCAAATGGCTCCCTGTGGACTTACTGTATTCACGTTTGCCTGGTAGGATAGTACTTGAAACATGTTGGGGTTTTTCATTGGCCTAGTATGTGCTTTTCTAAAATCCAAAAAGTTCTGAAGCACAGTTGACCCCATGAGTGAGCCCCAGGCTGAGCATTGGCACAGGTGGGTTTGTATCTCTGCTCTTACAATAACTTTGAGGAAGTCCCATCACCCCTTATCTGAAGTGGGACGTTTCCCATCTCAAAATATTTTTAGAAACCAGATGACTGAGCTTGTTAGAGGGGTGTGTGTGTGTGTGTGTGTGTGTGTGTGTACATGTGCTTTTTGAGACTAAGTCTCACTATGTAGCTTAGGCTGGCTTCAAACTCACAGTCCTCCTGCATCAGCCTCCCAAGTGCTGGGAAGAGGTTCTGAATATGACTGGATAATTATGTCCTCTGCAGAAAGTTAATGAATTGTATTGCACAGATTTATTGGCAATTCTCTCCCTTTATCACTAGCTAATTTTTGGTTTTGGGTAAGGCTGCATAAAAAGGGGGCTACCAGATTGCTGATTTTGGATTAACCTAATTAACCTTGGCTTTCTGCAGCACCCTTCCTTGGTTGGAGGTTACGATGGATGGGCTCCTCTTCCGTAGCTCAGAAACACAATTGACAGGGAGAGACTGCTCTGGGACATTGTTTTGGGGTTTATTTGCAGTTTCCTGTTGATGGCAAAAGAAAAAAAAGAAAAAATTAAAGTTAAATAGGTGAGATATAATGCTACCTGTACCCAAACTTCCCTCAAAAGAGTAAGAGCACTTTAAAATAAAAGACACTAGGCAAATATGCCAACACTGAACACGGTAAGGGGAAGAAGATACTGAAGGCCTTGGGATAAAGACAGTAACAGTTAAAATTACTGAACCTTCAGTATTCACCAAGCATTCTTGGATTAACTCATGTAGCTTTTCAATAAGCCCATGAAGTAGGTACACTATGATCAGTCATCCCATTTTACAGATGAGGAAACTGGGAGAGTCAAGTTGCTGTGCAAGGTCACATGACTGGTTAGTATGAGAGCAAACTCCACAGCCCTGCTCTTTTTGTTGGGGGTGAGTGTTGCTGGGGATGGAACCAACGCCCTCACAAATGCTAAGCACATGTTTTGCCACTGAGCTGTAAGCCCTATTATCCTCTATGGTACAGTGGACCCTTGAGTCACGACCGACCGGCCTGACATACGAACTTAGGTTATGACTGGAATTTTAGTTTTAATTTACAACCAAAGTCTTGAGTTACGACCTGAATGCTGGCCACTTGTGCTTCCAGATGTTCTCAGATACAGACTGAACCCTTGAAGAGTTCTGGAAGGAACATTTCATCATCCATTCCTGTGTGGGGTTTACTGAGAAATCCTGGGCCAATGTCTCTCTAAGGACACATCTGCCTGTGTACAGGAGAGATTTTAAAGGCTGTGTAAATGAGCCTGAGCCTTCAATCGACAAAGTGGAGTTAAAACTAGCCTTTGAAAATGAATTGAGTTTGTAAGTCAAGGGTCCACTGTACTCCTTCCTAGTATTTATACTACCTTCACACTTGTATTTTCCAGATAATTGCTTAATACTTTACTGAATATAGTTCCTTAACTGTGACATCTTAACAGCTAAGGCTGTGAAGAATCTAGAGATTTCCCTTTATTTACAAAGGGTGTCAAAGAGATCAAGCACTCTGGACTAGGAATGTCTGGAATGCTGGTAGGAAAAAGCAGCTGTGACCAATGAACCAGTTCTAGCTTCTCCACCCTCTGTGACTCTGGCCCACATGTTCTTCATCTGTAAAATGAGGTTGGAAATACCCGCTTAGAGAGGACATGTAGGAGCATGAGACAGCTCTGGCTTCAGAGTCATTGGGTGTGGCTGGCCCAGGCAGTGTGACCTGGAACAACAATACTACTACAACTCCAATGACAGCCCGTATTCATCAGACAAGTTATTTTATCTCTTTGAGCCTCCACTTTATGGTCTGAAAGCAGGTAGCATTTATTCACTCAACAGACATTTATTACATCTTACTATTATTTAGACTGTGTAAAGGATAGGATATAGTGATAAAATAGACATAGTCCAATTTTGTGTGTGTGTGTGTGTGTGTGTGTGTGTGTGTGGTTCTACGATCTAACCTAGGCCATTGCATATGCCAGGCAAGTGCTCTATCACTGAACAACAATCTCAGCTCCCAATTCTTAGTAAAGATACAAACCACAGTAGTCAAGGGAAGACATTATACAAATAAGGGCACACATACACACACACACACACACACACACACACACACACACACACACTGTCTGAAAGCTATGAGGAATAATAATGGATGAAAATGTTGCCAACTGAGACCAATGGTTCCCAACTAGGGATGACTTTGCCTTCTCAGGGGATATCTGGCAAGACCTGGAAACATTTCTGGTCGTCACAGCTGGGAATGGGGTGCTACTAGCACCAATGGGAAGGGGCCAGGGATGCTGCTAAACATCCTAGAATGCACACAGTGGTCTCCTATAAGAAGGAATTACTGGTCCCAAATATCAACACTGCTGAGGCTGAAAACCCTGATAAGGATGAGGTCAGGGAAGTTCTAAGAGTGGGGTTAGGAAGTAATGCTGGAGGTGCAAGTGCTGACCTGCAGGGCTGCTGGGACATTAGCAGTAATATGCCAGCCCCAGGCAGGACTGGGTGTGCTCCAGACCCTGGAAAGGTCATGTGTCATGGTGGTAAAACAGAGCTCCATGGTCAGATTTCCTGGGTTTGGAATCCTGTCTTCCACTTTGCTCAGCGACCTTGAGCAAGTCATTCAAGACCTCAGAACCCCTTTCCTTGTCTGTCAAATGGAGTTCAAACATGTAATGGTACCTCATAGGACTGTTGTGAAGATTGTGGGAGAAAATACAAGTTAAGATGTGGTACTGGCCAATGGCAGAACAACATAGATTTGTTATTCAACACATGGCGGCCATTATTGTCAACAACTCCAAAGTCATTTCTAAGATTGCCCTCAGGACAAAAAATCAGCTGGTGCTGCTGCAGAGACAACAACAGGCAAGAGAATAAAAAGAACTTGCTGTAAGAGTCCCTGTCCTAGCTGTGCAGCAGGTGGCACATGCCCTCTCCTCTTTGGACCTCAGTTTTCTCATCTGTAAATGAGCACATCTCTTTTCCCCAAAGAAAACTGATGATGGAGGGATCTGCAGCACACGAGGGGACCAAGAAATGGCTGCCCCTGGCAGAGGCAGTGGACTCACCGTACTTTTGTTCTTGGTGCTCATGGAGAGGCCTAGGGTAGGGCCCCCTGCCAGAGACTGCTGCAAGCGGTCTTTCACAGCCACCAGCCGCAACTCCAGGTCTATCCGGCGCTCCTCCCTCTCTCGACACTGTGCTTCCAGGGTGACCACAGCTTCCTCCAGAGCCTTTAGCTTTGCTCCTGAGTCCAGAGACACTGATGAGAAACACCTGAGTCCGGCCTGGAGCTTGGGAGTCTGTCAGGGCTCAGGCCCTTGCCTGTCCCTCCCAGCCTCTCAGGCTTGCTTAAGAGACAGATTTGGGGCTTGGGCTTCTACCTTCTAAATGAGTGGTGTGGTCTTTACCTGCTCAATATCCCTCTCCTGGGAACAGTGTACTGATTTTCTCCTGGGAAACAGGCTTCCCCCTCCTTTTCCTTATAGTTTCAATGAAGCTGACCCCCCTCTCAGTTCATAATCACCTCTCATGTTCTTTCACAGTGATTGGTTTAGGGATCAGAGTTGGTCCAATTAGAGTGAATCCTGAGGTGATGGTGGCAGTAACTGGGATGAAAAGCTCTCTCTGTTGGGGTGACTAAGAGGACTTAGTGAAGCTCCAGCCTTCACCACTGGGCAGCCACTGTGCCACCATATGAGGAAGAGAATGAAACCAGAAGAGAGGAAGGCACAAGCACAGACTAGAGAAGCATCCTGGTGACATAATTTAAATCCCTAGAGTTTATTACATCTGATCTCTAAATTTTCCACTTACATTTTTTTTCTTTTCCTTTCTATACCAGTTTGATTTTGGTTTCTGTTACTTGCAAACAATAGTCCTAACACAGGGCTTTACACAGACCAGGGTCTCCAGTAGGATTCTGGTGCTTATTCAGTTTAATCCAACAAACCTGTATGTTAATACCTTCTTGTGCCAAGGACTGTGTTGGGTCTTTGCCTCCATTCTTTGCCATGAGGGAGACTGAATTGGAAGGTTTCCCAGAAATGTTAAATTCATTCATTAATTCCTTCAGTAAATGTTTACTGAGTTCTTTCTATGTACCAAGCACTGTCCTAGACCCTTGGGCTATGTCAGTGAACAAAAGAGGAGCTTGTATTTGTGTGTGTGTATGTGTGACAGTAAATAAAAGCAATAAACTGGTATGTTTCAAGATGATAGAGTTATAGAAACAAAAGATGTTCAGCAGGACAAGAAAGTCAGCCTGTTCCAAATCCTGGTTCTGATGTTTTGAAAATTCTTTTCACAGAAACCAAACTTCCTTCCTGTCTCTGCCACTGACTTTAGTTCTTTTCCACACAAAATGTGTCTTATCCTTTAAACCAGAAGTTCTCAATCTGAGGCTCATGGACAATCTATTGAAATTGTATGTAACATTTTGAATTGTTTTTTTTAGGAACGGTCCATAGATTCCAGATTCTCACAGGGCTAAGTGCCCTTGGACATGTTCTATGAGAACAGGACTTCTGTCCTTTCCCACATGTGGAGAAACCAGGTTAAAGTGTTGTGAACTGCAGCTACTAAGAGAATTCACAGGAAATACAGCAGAAGAAAGGGGTATAGAGGAGTCCAGAGCAGGCAGAGCCTGCCGAAGTCCTACGGTTTCAGAAAAGAATCTTGAGAAAGTGTCACTGTACATCATTCTCAGCATCTGGACAAATGTCTCATACTTATCTCTGAACGAATGAATGGGAGGTCTGATAATCTCTTCTTTCTTTTTTTCCGGTACCAGGGATCAAACTCAGGACCTTGCGCTTGTAAGGCAGGTGTGGCGCCACTGAGCTAAATCCCAGGCCCCTATCTTACTTCTTTTATTCAAAAGCATACCTTTGAGTTTTCCATACTTCTAAAGTCAGTTTGCATCTTACTCCATTAAGTATAGACATTATTGTGACGCTTTTCATCCTCTTATCCAAAAGCAGTTATGAAATTGATGACACTTCCTTTGATTAGGAGCAATGATGGTGATGAAGAATGAGCAGAAGAGGGAAAGGGAGGGGCAGAACGGGGAGAGGGAAGCCTGCCTCTCCTGGTGTGGTTTAGATCTAAAATGTCTCCAAAAGGCTTATGTGTTCAGAAGATGGGGTTTGAGAAAGTGCTTGGCTCATGAAGGTCTAACTTCATCAGTAGGTTAATTCATTGATAAGATCATAATTTGATGGCATTATTGGGAGGTAATGGGGGAAACAGGACCTAAGACCTAGTTGAAGGGTACGGAACATGAGAGTGTGACCTTGGGGGTTATATCTGTCCCCAGGCCCTTCCCCTCTGGGTCTCTCTCTCCTTTCTGGCTTCCATAAGGTGAGCAGCTCTCCTTCATCCCTTCCATCATGATGTTTCTGCCTTGCCACAGGCCTAAAACAGTGGAGCTGGCTGACTATGGACTGAAACCTCTGAAACTGTAAGCCAAAATAGATCTTTCCTTCTTACAGTTGATTTATGTCAGGTATTTTGTCAAAGTGAGGGAAATCTGACTAACACACCTGGATAGGCTATAAGGTGACCTGTGCGCAAGAGATCTCCCCTTATTGTGCCAGGGGAGGTGCCAAGGCCGAGCCACCTATGGGCTCTCAGGACCACACCAGCACAGGTACCTGGGCTGCTCCGAATAGCTTCCTTTAGCTCTCTTTTCTCCTGTCGCAGGGACATCAACTCTGTCCGAATTGTTTCTTTCTCTTTCTCCAGCTTCTCTTTTTCTACCAGGTACCTCCGGGCATCCTCTTCAGCTCGGTTCTTGCCATACTTGTACTGATTGGCACCTGCAGAGATGTGGGGAAGGAAAAGGTGCTGGGTTCTAACCTCTAGTGAGTTATGTGGGTGGTGTTAGCTTCTCTCAGTCTCAATTGTTCTGTCTATAAATGGGAATATTTAGATTGATTTTCCCTTAGTGTGAATTTCCTACAACAGAGTAAAAAGGAGGCAGCAGAGCACAAACACTAGGAGCAAAAAGGCCTTTATCAGACAGACAAAGGTTTGTGTTCTCTGCCCTTACTGTTTGTGTGACATCAGGCAGAAGCAAGTGCCTTCCACCTTATGCCTCAGTTTGCTTATGTGTAAATAAGAATATTGGTTAATGTTTACTTTATAGGCTGTAGTAAGGTTGAAATGAGATGAGGAAAAGAACTTAGTATAGTCCTGGAAAACAGTGATTGTTAAATAACTGTTAGGTAATAATGATAGTAACCGCAATGGTTTAGATCTAGAATCATCTCCAAAAGCATCATGTGTTCAGAAGTGGGGCTTCTGGAGGGTGACTGGACAGGGGGAACTCCAGCTGACCTGCGGTTAGCAGGTAGGGGCAGCTGGAGGAAGGCAAGTAGGGGTATGACCTGGACGGCGCATCTCCCTCCCTGGTTTCTCCCTACTCCCTGGGCTTCCTGCTGCCCTGACTTGAGCAGCTGTCCCCTGCCAGACCCTTCCACCATGCCCACCCCCCGCCATGGCACAGCCAACTATGGAATGAATCCTCTAAAAATCACGAGCCAAAATAAACCTTTCATTCTTTTTTTTGGTACTGGGGATCGAACTCAGGTCCTTGCGCTTGGGAGGCAGGCGGCAGAACCACTGAGCTAAATCCTAGACTGGAACCTTTCATTCTTTGAGGGTGTGGGTTATTGTGTCTCAGTGACATGAATGTAACTAAGCCAGTCAAATTATATAACAAAACAAATTTTGCGATGTATAACATGCTTTGGCTTTATCTTTTATTTTTTGAAAAAAGTCTCACTACATAGTTCAGGCTGGCCTTGAAGTCTCTATATGGCCCAGGCTGGCCTTGAAGTTATGGTGATCCTCCTGTCTCAGCCTCCTCTGTGCTAGGAGTACAGGCATGCACCACCACACCCAGCTACACTTTGGTTTTAAAAGGGCATGTTTTGTATGAGTAACCTCTCAAGTATATATAAGATGAGGAAGTAGTTACTTATAACTCAAATCCATAGAGAATCTAGACCTGAGTGAAAGGCACTGCCCAGTATTGGTGGGGCAGAGTGGCACCCAGGAGTCTACTGTAGGTGCAACACAATGGTAGACAATAACTGTTGGGAGCAATTCTACATGATATTGGGGAAAAATCATTTCATAATTAAATCATGATTAGGGCCTAGTTTTCCTGCCTACAAGCCAGCTATGGCAGGTCCAGACATAACTCCGTTCTCACCTCAGGTCACAGCTAGACCTCAATGGTTCCGTGATGCTGAGATACTCCAGGGCAGGACTACACCAGCTGGAGGCATCCTAGGAGGAACAAAATCTTCATCTGCATAGTTCCTCATTGTTCTAGGATTGTAGCAGCTGCCTTCTCAAGTCCTCTGCTACCTTTGTTTCTCTTGATGTACTGAATAAAAGTGTGGCAAGATGAGGGTCTGGGGTCTTTGCTGCCCAGAGCAGCATTGATCAGGGCCAAAGCTCAGCTTCTTCTCTAAGTCTCATTTCTGTCTCTATATTAATTAATTCACCTTGTGCTCTCGTGGATCTCAGGAGACTAGGACCTGATGCAGAGGTTCTAGTAACGTCCCCTTCCCCTGTTCCCTACAAATAACAACACATAAGTATGGCAAAAATTTATTGAGCATTTACTACATAGGAGGTACTACATGCTAATCCATTTATCCACATTCCGTTTAATCCTTAAACTCTATTTCATTACTAGCTGTACTTATTTATTACTCTACTTATTAGTTCTACTTCATTGTTGAGAAAAATGAGGCACAGAGGGGTTAGGTCCCTCTGCTAATGGTTCCAGGGCCAAGGTTGAACTCCAGTGTCTATGGCTCACATCGGTGCTTTAGCTGAGCCATGGCCAAAGTCCAGCCTCTCTGAGGAAGCTGCAGCCCTTTGGAAGTTGGTGGGGTACTAACTGCTTCCCATGGCTCCCTGGGCATTGAGGGGCTCGTCTGTTCAGCTCTTTTATAGTGGTCACCTAGTGACATGTGAAAACAATTTTTTGCATAAACTGCCCTGCAATTCAAGCCTGAAGTTTAAATATGGCATAGAGAGCAGGACAGGGACTCATACCCACCCCTTACACTGAGAATCTTACACTGAGCTGGGACTGGAGTGTGGGAGGAGGCAGTACTGGTGTGGGGTGTGGCTGAAATGGCATCAACTCTCACTGTTCTCATTGTGATTTAGTAAATATTCCAGAATAAATGTTTCTTCATTTGCTCTCTGCCCTTAGAACAATTTCCAGACTTTACACTGTTTACTAATCTTCACCACTGCTATTTGTTTTGCTGGGGAGTGAGTCTCCAGAGTATCTCACACTACTATTTTTCTCAGCAGCCTACTCAGCCTCCACAGTTCTTGTCTCTGGATTCTCATGCCCTGTTGTCCCCTCCCACACTAAATAGGGCTGAGATGTGTAAGCATTAGGGTACTGTAGAAATGGCAGAATATGACTTCTAAACCTGGATCATAAAAGACACTGCAGTATCTGCTTGCTTCCCCCTTGGACTTGATCTGAGGGAAGCCTGCTGTCACACCAAGAGGACATGAAAATATGTGGAGAGGTCCCCAAGGTAAGGAGCTAGGCACAAACCTGCTGGGCATGTGAGTGAGCCAGTTTAACAGTGGGTTTTGCACAAGTGAAGCCTTCTCATGATTGCAGGGAGCGGGCAAACATCTTGACCACAGCCTCAAAAGTGGCCCCATACCAGGACCACCTAATGCATCTGCTCAGGATTCCTGATCTGCAGGAACTGTGACATAACACAGACTCACTGTTTTGAGCCACTAAATTCTGGGTAATTTGTACTGTTGTAATAGGTGATTAGTACGTGATCTTGGGCAAGACCCTTTTGCTATGAACTGAAAGTTTCTGAGCCCCCCAAATTCATATGTTGAAACCTAATCCCCAGTGCGATGGTATTTGGAGGTGGGCCTTTAGTATATGATTAAGTCATGAGAGCAGGGCCTACATAACTGTGATCAGTGCCCTTAAAAAAGAGACTCCAGAGAGTGAAAACATGGCCATCTATGAAACAGGAAGTGGGCCCTCACAGACAACAAATCTACTGGCACCTTGGTCTTCCCAGCCTCCAGACTATGAGAAATAAATATCTGTTGTTTATAAGTCACCTAGTTTATGGTATTTTGTTATGGCAGTCTGAGTGGACTGAGACACTTCTCTTTGAGTTCTTCAGTTTCTTCATCTGAAAAACAATGAAGCTGGCCTACATCAGTGGATTCCTACTGCCCTTCAGGAGCTCTGTGACTCTAGTGATGGCAAGGCCCACTTTTAAATCTCTTTTATAAACTGGGCTTTCATATAAGATTTGATTTGAACCAGGGATTTAGCTCAGTGATGCCACTGCCTGCCTCGAAAGTGCAAGGTCCTGAGTTTGATCCCCAGCACCAAAAAATAAAAACAAAAACAAACAAACAAAAACAGATTTGTTTTGAAGAAAAGGTCTGTTTCTTTGTCTCAGTATTTTTGACATTTTATGATATCTTTAATCTTACATGCTTATTTTTAGTAATTTTTCTTTTTAAAATGGGCTTTTCAGAAGGCCCCATATTTCTAGTGCCTATGAGAGTAACATGTAAAGAATGGTATACATTCTTCTAGTTGTTCAGAGAGGGAACTCAGGCCCAGAGAAGGGAAAGGACTTTTCCAGAGTGGTCAAGTGAGGAATGGAGAACAGATCTCCTGATTCCCAGAAGGGATGGTCTACAGCAGCGATGGTGAACCTTTTAGAGACAAGTGCCCAAACTGCAACCCAAAACCCGCTTATTTATCACAGTGCCTACACTACATCAAACCTGAAAGCTGAGGTTTTAGTTTAGAAAAAACAATTCATACATTAACATCTTTTGTCTTAAAAAGGAAACATAACATGTCATAGGTTTGTCACCAATGGTCCACACTAATGAAGTGGAGCTCTAGTATAGCAAAGTTGTTTTTTTTTTTAATAAGCCTTCAAAAGCAAAGAATGAAACCTGACTTTGTTCAAGTGCAACTGGAAGACATTCAAAGGAAGGAAGAAGAAACTGCTGGAACCTGCTGTCCTATGTTTGCTCAGTGATATGGTCAACACCGGAGCAGGTGTTAGTGCCGGAAATCAGACAGAACTTAACAAGAGTTGTCTGTCACAGTCACTATCGTGGAGTGCGACACTAAGGCCATTCACCAAGCGCACAGGGTGTTAGGTGGAGCTCGGGCTAGGATACAGAGGTGAACTGTGGCTCTCATGGCAGCACCTGCAGGGTATGTAGAGGGACTTGATTCTCCACTTGCTATTCCAGATAGGAATCACAAATTGTGAGCTTCTGGGACAGACACAGCTTAGAGAGGCTTTCTCTTTCTATTGTCTACAAAATACTTTCAGTTTTACAATTTAAAAACATTGCTAGTATTAAAAAAATAAAATTTCACATAAAATCTAGATTTCTGGCCTTTGAAAAATCAGTAAATCTGGCAAGAGGGCCTGGCACTGTTGGGTGGGGACCACTAGGGAGAGCTGAGTAGCAGCTACTTCTGAAGTTGGCCTCTGAGTGCTCCAGTTTCCTGACTGTCCTGCACTTCCTGTCATTTTCCCTCTGAGGCTACTTGCCAATTGTCTTTACCACTGTGCTTGTGTTGTTACTTTTCTTTTTCTATGGCACTGGTGATTGGACCCAGAGCCTCATCCATGCTAGGTGAGCTCTCTACCACTGAGCTACTACACCTCCAACCCTGTTACTTTTCTTAGGAGAGAGTTTTTTCTCTTCAGTATCAGAGATTGAATCCAGGGGCTTGCACTGAGTTATATTCCCAGCCTTTTTAAAAGTTTTTATTTTGAGACAAGGTCTCAATAAGTCACTGAATTGCCTGGGTTGAGCCTGAACTTGTGATCCCCCTGCCTCAGCCTCCCAGGGTGCTGGGATTACAGCAGCATACTACGTTTAGCCAGGGTAGAGTATTTTCTTACACCTCACTTTCCTCATTTATTTACCTGAGCCCTGGAAGAACCTGGCTTTGGATCCCCCCCACCCCGATGACCGTTTCTCTCTCTCTTTCCTGCTCAGCAGGGAAGGCCCACACAGAACTCACTGGAGGCATGGCGCTTGACTTTGACCTGTGGGTCCACTCGATGAGACTTCTCACTGCAGGAGGAGGCGTGGCGCTTCACCTGGGCCCCAGTGGGGTGCTCGGGCTTCTCATCCTGAGTGGGAGAGGGAGGAAGAAAGTTAAGGGCCAGCAGGCTCAGAGTCCAGGGTGGAGGCAGCTCTCTCCTTGGGTACTGGAAGGGTTTCTGAGCTCTTGGCCTTATAGTTTTAGGCTCTTGCAGCGCTCTGCAGTTTATGAACCACTTTCACTAGCAGTAGGTCATTTGAATCTCATACCTTTCTGAGGGAGTCAGTGGAAGGCAACTCTAGAGGACCCACTAAGAAGAAAACTAGGAAGTCTCAAAAGACAGTGGGTGACCATATTTGATTTACCATAGGTATTTTTGGCTTCACAGAATTTGGAAACATTCTTCTAATTTTCTGAATTGCTAATACAGTCTTCCCTCAAAAAGAATCAGTCAATGGTAACATACAATAATGGTAAAATATATAACTATGGTAATAAAATACATAATTCATTAGCCTGCCTACATATTTGTGCACGTAAAAGTTTTATGGAGACTCAAAATCCAATAAGACCCAGGAAACCCTAATGGGATTAGATCATACTGTTATACAATAATCATATTGATAACAGTATAATTTATTACTCTGTATAAAATGTTCCAATGGGTAGGCACTGTGCCCAATTTTTTTTTTTTTTTTTTGCATACAGTGTTTTACTTAGTTCTTGCAGTAGCCCTGGAAGATGGGCTTTTCATGCCCACATGAGGACCAGAGAAGCAAACCTGAGGCCACTCAGCCTCAGCCTGGGTCTGACTCTCATCCCCTTATCCTTAAGCACTATGCTGCCTGGTTACTAGTTGTGTTACAATTGTTATGCAAAACCTCAAAAGCAGCATCCACTGGGTCACCTGAGTAGAAGAAAAACCATGTGAACAGCAGGGTGGATACAGGATGGCTAGAGAAGTTTCTAGAAGAGGGAGTCCTGGAGGTGACAGCAGAGGGCATCATCCAATAATGTCCACAGCAGGGCCTGCCTGGAGATGTGCTGTGTCTTCGGCACCTGGAATTCCTCTCTGGCCTAGCTGTGAGGTACCCCCACCTGCCTGTGTCTAGTCAGAATGTGGTTTTCCTGTGGCTCCCTGAGGAGGAGAAGGCACAGGGCATGCTGCCATGAGCATTCTGGGCAGAGTACAGGATGGACAGGTACAGAGAGGCCTTGCTGTGTATTAATGAACTGGCATTGCCTTGGTTTAGTAAGCAAAACAGGGAGCAGATGTCTAGACTGTGAATGCCAACAGATGAAGGCCACCTTGTCAACCTTTGCCCCAAACACCACTGGATCAGCAGCCTAAGTTCACAGCGGGAAACAAAGGAGAGCCCAGCACCTTGCTCAGACTAGACATGCCGCTTCACCTTTCTGCAGTGTTTAGCAGTCTGCAGAGTCCCTTCTTCCTCCCAACCTGGAGCTCCTTCACCTGTACCTTCCCACCCCTGCTCCTGAGCCATGAGCTATGAGAAGAAGGGACTCTCCTTCTAGCTGTTGGTTAAACAAAACTGATTTCTTAAGAACAAAGTACAGAAGGGGCCATGGAGAGGAAACAGGAAGAAGTGGTCTTTGGGACACTCCTACGCAGACCTAAGGGACCGTACCTGGATCTTTTCATAAGGAACATCGTCATAGACACGGGGCTCAGGCCACTGATCCTGGCAGGATCTTGCATATCTGGAAAATGAAAGGCACCATGATGACAATGGCTGTACACTCTCCTATTCCCTCTCATTTGATTCTGGTAGCAGATCTAATGTAGGTTGGAAGATTCCATGCTGCGTGAAGGCCTCACAGGCGGGACCCACATAATTCTCACAGCCACCCAGAAGGCTTGGGGCATTTGTCACCACCAACAATCTATAATCTAGAAAATACAGGACCCAAGGTGACAGGCAACCAGTCCTCGCTCCCAGAGCTGGTGGTGATGGTGCTGGACTCCAACCCAGCTCTTTAATGCTGAACTTGAGCCACATGCCATCCAGATGCTCAAGGGTATGAGACTGTAAGGTGCCCACAGCTGGGTGCAGAGCCTCTGTGGTGGAGGAGAGACAGTAAGTCCATGGGCATGCCTGGGCTTTGGGGCTGGCCCTTACAGGAAGGAGTTGCGCCCAGCAGTCACGATGCTGGTTAAGGTCTCCACGTCCACGTAGTCATAGTGCAGCGCCTCTGGAGTGACTCTGGAGCCCATCTCCACCAGCAACAGCCCAAGCCAGCGACCCATGTCCTCTGAGCAGCTTGCCTGGGGGAGAGCAGAATTGTGAAGCTCATGTGTACACTGCCAAGGCTTCCGCCTACCTTCTCACCTCAGCCAAGCCCACAAATACTCAAAAGCACCTTTTATGTACCCAGAAACTCGACGCTCCCTCCTTCCTTCTATTCAAGTGTCTGCTCAAAAGCTCCCTCTTCCGAGAGGCCTCCCTGACTGGCCTTTGTTGACAGCACAACCTCTCACCATCCTCAGGACTTGGATGTAAAAACAACATTTAGGTGTTTCCTGAAATTTGTGAGAGCTATTTTTTAATCTGAGGAACCACTGCTCATATAACTCAATCAATTTTTCTTGTGTTATAATTGTGAAATAATCATAGTACTGTAGATAGGGAAATCTCTGAAAAGTTGTTGGTCAACTAAACACATACTTAATTCTCATTTAAAGAGCATTATTACTAAATGCACTTAGCTCACAAATGATGAATCTGAAGAAAGGAAGCACAGTTTTTACTAGAAAGCTCTGTGTGAGAGTTAAAGTAAATATGAGGTATTTCTGAGACTATCAAAAATAAAAGTAAGTTACAGAGGCAGGAACTGAGAGAAGAATGGGTATAGAGCAAAGAGAATGAGACCAAGAGGCTGAGCCAGGTGCAGTGACACAAGTCTGTAATCGCAACCACTCAAGAGGCTGAGGCAGGAGGATCTCAAGTTTAAGGGCATCCTGGGCAACTTAACAAGATCTTGTCTCAAAGTAAAACTTGAAAAAGCTTGGGGATGTACATGTGAGGCAAGGCCCAGGTTCAGTCTCCACAAAAACAAAGAAAAAGTCAAGAAGTCAGGTTTTAGTTCTAGAACAAAAACCAAGAAGCCACAGACTCTCTGTGCAGCCCTGGACAAAGAAAGCATTGGCTACCCTGGCCCCAGTTTCTTTATTTGTAATGTGAGAAGACAGATACTTAAGTTTTCCCTCAGTGTCAACATTTAAAAAAAAAAATATTTATTTTTCAACATTTTAAATTCTAAATAGCCAAGACTGCCACATGAAGACATATTGAATGTGTTCTGCATGATCTCAGAGGACTTGTGCCAGAGTGCAGGAAGGAAGTGAGTAAATGAAATGAATTCACAGTTCATTTATCCAACATATGTTTATCGAGCCTGTTGTATGTCCTGGGTATTGTGCAGGGGCCTAGAAAAATAAAAGTATGTACAACAGGCGTGGTTATTGCCTTCATGGTGCTTAAGATTTAACTCACTACAGGGAAAGTCCTTCTAGAAATTCAAGTTGCTCCATGGAGGCAGTGGTTTATCTGAGGTGGTCAGCTCCTGCTGCAAAGATGTCAGAGGGTGGGACCAGATGGGGTGGGACCAGGTGAGATACCTTTCAGACTTGGGACTTTTGGAACTTTAAGGTCAGGGAGAATAAATAAATCTGTTTTAGGGCTGCTGGAATTAAAAGAATAAAAATACAAAATGCTTTGCTAAATCTGAGTTTCAGATAAATAACCAAAAAAAAATTTTTTTTCAGTCTAGGATGTCACAGAAACTGCACAGAAGATACTTGTATTCAAAACAGGATTCATTGCTTATGTGGAATTTGAATGTAAGTGTTCCCTGGTGAGCCTAGGGGGTCCCTCGCCTTGCTCCCTGCAGTGTAATGGAAAGCCCCCCCTTCAGGCCTGGGTCAGGGTCTCACCAGCCAGGGCCACCTGGACCCTCTCCTCTCACCTCCAGGATGGCCACTTCCTGCCGGTTGCGTAGGATCCTGAAAGCAAATGGGTGTCTGGGCCCGAAGCCGGGGGCCACCTCGCAGCCGTGGAGGGCGATGGCGTTCACGTGGGTGTGCAGGTCGGCTCGGTCCTTGTGAAAGTACAGGGTGCCGCTCTTGAGGCGGCACCAGCGCTCCTTCCAGCCCTGGTTCACCAGGATGTTCAGGTAGCCTAGGGGGACAAGGCGGTGTGACTCCCGCAGCCTGCCTGTGACAGACCCAGTGGGGTCACAGGCTGGGACAAAGCACAGGGACAGCCCTTGTTCTCTAGCTGGACAGGTGGCCTCTGGGTTTCAAGTCAGCTCACTCTACAGGCTGTGACCTTAGGCATCCTCTTCTCTGGAGTGGACACTGGTAATCCCGCTCATACATCGCTGCCCAGCCTCAGGGCCACACCAAGACAACGAACTCGGCAGGAGCTGCTACATTAAATGTGTAAAAGACACAGCTGTTCCCCAACCTTAACTCAATGATGGAAAATAATGGATGGTGCTGACATCTAGTGACAGCATGTGGGAACAAAAGCATCCAGCCAAGGTAAAGAAAGGAGAAAACCAAGGCACAGGCAGTCACACAGCAGACCATAGATGGGGTTAGAATTCCCTCATTTCCCCTTAAAATAGAGTTAAAAACCAACATGCCTTGATTTATTGATTACAAAATGTTTTTCATAGTCATGTGCTTTTATATTGTTTTTCTAGGGCCAGCAAAATATTCATATTCAAAATAGGTACAGTAATATTATTTATTTTTGTGGTGCTGAGATTGAACCCAGGGCCTTACACATGTTAGCCAAGCACTCTACCACTTAGCTACACCCTGAGCCCCTTAAAACAGATGATTCTGGCCTGGGTTTCAGTACACACAGCATTACATTTACATGGAAAAAAATAATGCTTTCTTTTCCAAAACATTTTCCCTATATTGAATGCATTTATACTGAAAGGTACTTCATTACTTTTATCCAAACTTCCTTGTAAGACTGATTGTAGCTTATATACCTGGCATGTTCTATTCGATGAAGTAAGTCACTTTCTTCTCACTATAGAGGAGCAGACTGAGAACCTGAGGTCCAGAGATTTAGGCTAAGGTCACAGAGAGCATAGAAGCATGGGGATCAGTTGGCTTTTCCTTCTGCTGAGCACCAGGGCCTCACAGGAATGAAGTGGTGCAGGGCGAGGATGGGGATGGAGTGGGCTTTAGCCATTCTGGGGCTGACTCTTCTCGCCTGCGCTGGGGGCCAGGTGGGTGAGGCACTGAGAGCCTCCTGGCTTTAGCTCCAGGAGCCTGTGCCCACAGCTCGCTCCCCATGCCCCAGACCTACCACAGCATGGCACCTCCTCCTCAGCGGAGGACATCTGCAGATCCTCAGCCAGGGCCTTCTTCTTGGAGAAGCTGATAATGCGGGTGATCTTGCGGCCTGCGGCCCGGCTCATGGAGCCCTTTAGCTCTGCCAAGCTGCTCTTCTTCCCTTTGCCTGTGACCAGAGATGGGTCAGGGGAGCGGAGGGGCCCTGTGTCCCAGGTCCACCTATTCCTGGCCTTCCCAGCAGCCCTTCTACTTGCATGTAGGGACTGGCCTGTCCACATAAGTCAGGCCAGGCAATCCTATCTAGGTCTTCTCTGCTCTGCCACCATGTGGCTGGGCTAGGGCCAGGTCCCTTCCAGCCCAGGCATTCTCCAGCCTGACCTCAAAAAGGCTCTTACCATGTTCACAGGCTTCCCTGCGGCTGAGGCTGGAACCGTTGTCGCCCATGCCTAGGCTGTCAGAGTCTGAGGCCTGCTTCTCTTGAGACAGCCTCTGGGGAGGGGGACACAGCCTCACATCAAGAGGAACACTCACAAATATCCTTTATTGGTTCTGTCTTTCCCCAAGTCCTCAAACACGTGATAGTTAACAAACACTCCCAGCAATTATCATGTGCCTGATACTGCACCAGGTATCAGAGGACAACAATGACTTAGGCATGGTTGTATCTTCATTTTGCAGTCAACATGGGAATGAGGCAATTAATTTGAATACACCAAGAGCAACGTCTTAGGAGTTTGCACTATATTTGACAGGTGACAGGGAGCTGGAAGGGTATCTAAGTGGGACACTAATGTAATCCAGTGGTGTTGCAGGGGTGGACTAGAGGGTGCAAAACTAGATACTTTTTAAAAAAGCCACTAGAGAGAGAGTGTCCTCCTAGTCAAGCTAAGACTCCAGAAAGGATGGACCAGGTTGACAGTGAGGATGAAGAGAAACAGAGGAGCTAGCAGGCATTTTAGAAATACTCATGATAGGACCTGGTGACCAACAGGGGCCCACTATGATCTCAGCTCAAATAAGAAGATGGTAAAGATACACACACACAACTCTGTTGCCAGCCAAAATTATTTTTACTCATTAAACCAACTCTAGACCATTCATTCATTCAGACAAGCTCAAGGTCATCCTAGGTAGCATGGGAAGTGGAGCAGAGTAGTTAGACTGATCTTGGAAGAAATTATGACTACTATCCTAATTAGCTGTGGAAATGTGGGAGAATCCTCCCATCTTCCTGAGGCTTGGTTTTCTTACCTGAATTACACTCACTTCAGAAGGCTGCTGTGAGGTACCAGACAGCTGGCCAGGTAAAATTATGAGGCTAATGGGCTGTGTCATTTCTCACACCTGTGTGATGTGCTGTCATCTTGCTTCAGGAAGCTACACTGTGCCAGCCAGACGTAAGCCAGAATTAAAATGGAACCCCCTCACTTAAGCCAGAATTACAGAGCTGAGCCCCTAAGCCTGTCCTGCCAAGGCCCCCAAGACCAGGGCTGGTACATGATTAGCGTAGTACCAGGGACACAGAGGACAGCAGAGATCACATGCTCTCCTCAATTTCCACAGCACTGGAAAAATGGCAACTGTCACAGATGGGATAGAACTGTCAAAAGCATACAGAATCATCTGTGAATTATGAAGCAAAAGTGATGGCTCCGTTTATTCTGCAATGGTGTGCCAATGGTAAGGTTTTCACCGATAGAAAGCAAATACAAGGGAATGCTGTGAGCATTTGGGGATTAACTCAGGGACGATGACATTTCAACCCCATGATTCCATGCAGACACAGACCCCCCCCCCCCCACTCCCAGCCCGGCCTAAGCATTCCAGTCCCCTCCCCACAGGAGAACTCGGATGTGCGAGCTCACCTCTTCGGTCTGGCAGCCCATCCTCCAAACTGCACCACAGCATGCACCCCTTGACCTAGCCCTGCCCTCCTCTTCCCTACCCACCTGGGCCCCCAGCCAGCCTGAGCTCTTGTCGCCTTCACTGTTGCCACCCATGAGCATGCGAACAGAGCTAACAAGATTCCCCTTCTCTCCCATGCAGCCATACCAGCCACTTTCACTTCTATGCTTTCTTTTGCTCCAGTGCCTGTTTCCTCTGCTTTAAATGACTTTCTTCTCCTCTTTCTTGCTAATTTCTATCCTCATCTGAAGTTACTTCTGGGGGGAATGCTCCTGTATCTCTAGACAGGAGCAGGACCCTGGTATATACTCCCAGGGAACCTGGTACTTTGCCTTCTTAGCACTTAGCCAGTTTGGGGTTCGGAAGTCGGTGTGATTATGGAATCTGACTCACAGCTGGGCTGAGTGCCCACTGGGCTGCAGGTGCTATGAGTGCAGCGTGTGCCTGCTTTTCTTGGGACTGTTTCCCAGGACCTGTGCTGTGCCTGGAGTGGGCAGATCCTGACTAAGTACTTGTCCAGCAGACGCTCAGGGTTCTCCACTGACATGGCAGAGACCTCAGGTGCCAGGCTGTTTGGGTTTAAACCCTAGATCCATTTCTTCTTTACAATGTGACATTGGGTATATCTCTCTCTGCTGCAGCTGTCACATCTGAAAATGCACCTGCAGTAGGAGTGGTTACAGAAAGTGAGTTAACATGTGTGAAGCTTTTGGAACAATGCTGGGAGCACAGTAACTGTCTGTAAATGCCAACCCATATTACATTATGTATGGCCCTACTGTAATGTCAAAGGGATGACTTTAGGTCTGAGTCCCTTTGTTACCCACAGCACTGGCAACATGTAGGCACCGGTACGTGTTTGCACAGAGCCTGACCAAATGGCCAGTGACTGCCTCACTCATGCTCCAAGCTGGCGTTTTCCTTTGCTGACAGATGAATTTCAACTTAGATTTCATGGCACAGCTCAGACATGACCTCTTCCTGTCCTGGCAGGGTGAGCCAGGTACTGTACTTTTCTGCCTGGTTCTGTACCCTAGATATCCATATTCACGCATTCCTGAGTGCAGCAGGCAATTATTGAGCAGCTGCTGCTGTGCCTGCTCTGTGCCAGGCACATACAGCTTGTAGGACATCATGGTGGGGCCTGGCTTTACCACCAGCACAGGGTCTGCCTGGTCCTGCCTGGGAGGAGACCGATGGAGACACATGTACCTTGTCCAGGTCCAGCTTGCATTGGAGCACTGGGGACTGGGGCGCCTCCACTCCATCTGCTCCTGTGATGGGCTTGCTGACCTCACGGATGACCTGTGGAGAGGACACACAGCTAGGAAGAGGTGGGCAGGGAGGCCCTAGGGGCAAAACATGCCTGGGGTTTGTGAGACCAGGGCTGCTGTGCAGAGAGACTGGGGTTACTGGGAGCCTGAGACAGGCTGACGTGGGCTTCTGAACCAGTGTGGCGAACCCTGGGGTCTGAAAAGGCTTTCTCTTCTATCTGTCCCTTGGATTGAAAGATACAGGGCTAGGGACCAAGACGCTTGGTTTCTAAACCTGGATTCACTGCTGATTAGAGTGGCCTCAAATCGCACATGTGTAATATGAGAGTGCTGGGCCTCTGCTGGGGTGGTCTAAGGACAGTGAGATCATGGATGTGGAGGGCCATGGATGTAAACCAGAAAACCTTGTAAGGGCGAGGGGCCGGCTTCTGCGACTATGCAAGGGGCGACCGGGGGCCACAGTCTCCCTTTCAGTAACGTGGAAACTGAAACCCAAAGGCTCCAGCAATAGCCATGCAGACCATAAAATAATGACAGTCACCTTCTGATGCTCACGCACAGCAGCCTGTGATTCCCAAGTTACAGATGAGATGATGAGGCTCAGAGAGGTGAAGTTACCTGTCCGACGGCAGCAGGGCAGGAAACCAAACACAAGTAGTGCGGCTGCCTGCTCTAAACACCTGGGCTTAAGGTGCCCCAAAGTAGGTATCGGGCAGGTCTCTTAACTCCTGGCCTGGGGGTCCTGCTTCTGACCTCTCAGTGCCTGGAGGCAGAGGCTCCCCAGCAGGCAGGTCCTCTTTCTTCCTTCCCCTCCTGAGACAATGCAGTAATGAGAAACACCAGACTTCCATGGGAGAGGAGAGCTGGCTATCACAGGAAGCAAGGGAGGGAGGGAGGTGCTTGGTTTCAATGTTCCAGCAGGAAGATCAGAAGAGAGAGAAAGGTATCCGGGTGGAGCAGAGGTGGGTGCAGGGACAGAGGGTCTGCTGGAAAAGGTTGGGGAAAGGGTTCGCTATCTGCATCAGGAATCACAGAAAGTTACTGGACACTTAATGGCCTGGTGGGCACTGTGTCAAGTGCTCTCTAGAATCCGTATAACCATTTTACAGACAAGGAAACTGAGGCATGAAGAAGTAAAGTTATTTGCAGAACACAGAGCCAGTGAATGCTGCTTAGGCCTGGGACTTGAATCCTAGTCTGTGTGCCACTAAAGTTTTCCCTTCTCATCACTGTGGTACCATGCCTATGCCCTGGGAATAGATTTACATCTTAGCTTCAAATCCTGGCCCCAGTCACTTGGTTGCCTGACCTTTGGCAGGGCACATTAGTTCTTCAGGACTCAGCTTCATCTTCTGTAAAATGGAAACAATAATAGTCCCACTGTGAAGGGTAAATGAAATCACAGGAAGTAAAGCTCTCAGCAGAATGGCACAAAACACAGTAGTACCTCGGTTCATGAACTCAATTTTCTCCACGATTCTGGTTGCAAAACGAACTGGAAGAGAACTGAACCAAATTTCCCCATAAGGTAAATACTGAACCTAACGAACGAATTTGATTTGGTTCTGGTCCAACTCAGTTCGTGATCAGATCATGGAAAGAATCAAGTTGGTGAACTGCAGTACCACTGTGAGTGATTGATACTTGGTAACTCTCATTGTTCTGTGGAGTCAGGAAGGTGCAGAAGCTGGACCACAGGTGCCGGTTACAAGGTTGTAACAAGAAAGGATTTTTCCCTTTTTTTAAAGGACTAACTTGTTCAATGGTAAAGTCAGCCTCCTTTATAGATACTGAGCTCCCCAATCTAGAAAGTGTAGAAGGGTAGGCTGGACTGGCCTGTAGAAGAGGTGTTAGAAAGGGGACTCAAGTAACTAGAAAGAACAGGCTCCAGCATGAGGTCTGTCATTTGCAGATATCCAAGGCCTCCAAGGCCCATTCCACACATGAACTCAGCCATTGATCCCATCTCTCCTGAGCAAGGCTTGGTTCTTCCAGGGACAGAACTGGCCTCTGCTGGAGGTGGGGGTGAGAGGAAGAAAGGAAGGCTCGGAAGCCAGACCCTACATACAGCCACGTACCTTCAGCCACTCCTCGGCCTGCTCCCGGCTTTGCAGTGCCAGCACCAAGACCTCACTGGCCCCCTGGGAGAAGCGCAGCTCGTGCCTCTTGTGCCTGCTGTCCTTGGGCACATAGATGACACTGCAGATATCCAGAGCCAGCCTCAGATGCGGCTGCCGGTCCTTGGAGCTTTTATAACACTGGACAGGGAGAGAAGGGTCAGGGCCTTCTGGAGTGAGGGTAAAGGAGGGAGACACCTGCACACCAAAGCTCTGGGAAGCTTGATCTACCCCACAAAGACCTCCCTACTGGCCCTTACGTGCACACTGTGTGAGGACCACTAAGAAGCCTGACCGGGGATGTCTCACTTAGGGAATCTTCAGGCACAGCTGCCTGTGAGGAAGAGGCAGACTGTAACATAATACCAGGAAGAACGTTCAGGCCAAAGAACCACAGGAGAAACGCGCTGCTTGGGAAGGAGGAAGCCAGGTGGAATGGCTGCCAGGTGGGATTTGAGGGAGAGAATTTTAGCAGAGGTTGAGAGCTTGCCTTGGGAGCCAGCACTTTTATCAATAATCATTCTCACTTTTCTCTCCTCTGAGGGCAGAGTTACCTTGATACTACAGCCTGACAATGACAGTACAAGAAAGGGAAATTACAGGCTAATTTCTCTCATAATTGCAAAAGCCCTAATACTGGCAAATGGAATCCAGACATATAGAAAAAAAGCACACTACATCAAGACCAAGTGGGGCTTTGTCTAGGAAGAAGGGTGGTTTAAAATTTAAAAAAAACATATAATTTGTCACATTAACAGAAAAAAAGAGAAAAAATATACAGTTCAGTGGAGGCAGGAAAAAATATTTGATAAAATTCAGCATCCATGGGTGATACAAACTCTTAGCCAACTAAGAACAAGGGAGGGAATCTTCCTTAAGAAACTTCTACAAACAACTCACAGTAACCATCGGCTTTAATGAGAAGTGTTTATTGTCTTTTTCTTTTTGTTTTAAAATTCTGAGCCAGGGTCTCACTAAGTTGCTAAATTGCCTGGATGGGCTCAAACGTTTGATCCTTCTGCCTCAGCTTCCCGGGTGCTGCTGGACTTACAGGTGTGGGAGGAAGCTTTCCCTTTGAGTGTCAACACTCTGCTGACACTGAGCTGGTAGTGTGGTCACTGCGGTAAGTAAAGGACAACAGAAAAGACACAAGGATGGAACAGCCAGCCAGGACCCTTGGACCAGTGCTTTCCCTGCCCCGTGGTGGAAAGAGATCTTGTCTCAAATGCATGTATGTTGTGCAAGGCTTGACAACATTTTGGAGGGGAGGGGAGAACTACTGTTATGTTTTGGATATTACATTCATTCTCCTACTTTGCACCTCTAGGGTGTGTTTTATTTTATGAAATGACAGTGCTGTGAGATGATAAATAAAAACATTTCTTCACAGCAAGCAAGTTATACTTTAATGAGTGCTACAGAGGTCAGTTATACGAAAGACAGCAGGGCGGGAAGAGGTGCACGAACTGCACGGTACTTATCCTCTGGCCAATGGGATCATGCGGGTTTTAAAAAATCACTTTTCATTTTGTCTTTCTCTAGTTTTATAAATCAGTATATTAATTCATATAATGAAAAACAGCAAACATTGTTTTAAAGTGATAAAAAATTCTCTAGAAAAAAACCAACCACAACAATCTTGGTAAGCCTGCCTCAGGTTTTGAGAGGTGTGTGTGTGTGTGTGTGTGTGTGTGTGTGAGAGAGAGAGAGAGAGAGAGAGAGAGGAGAGAGAGAGAGAGAGAGAGAGAGAGAGAGAGAGAGAGAGAGAGAGAGAGGAGAGAGAGAGAGTTCTGCTGGAATGGGAGGGCCCTGATCTAGGAAGTGCTGGACTTTGAGCTTCTGAGCACACAGCCAGGCCAGACACAGCAGGCTGAGGTGGACACATCCGCAGGCTCACGGGATGTACCCACAGCAGGGCCATGTGAGGCCACTCACCAGGAGCTGGTCCTCCTTGATGACAGTCAGCTGCTTGGCCCACTGCCCAAAGCGCTTTTTCCGAAGCAGGAAGGAACATATCCTGCAATCCCTCACCAGATGCATAGAGGCCTCCTCTGAGGGCCACTGGTGCCTGGGCTGTGGGCCCTTGCCTTCTTCCTCCTCCTCATCGTAGGACTCGTAGGAGCTGCTCATCGCGTCAGAGTCATTGTCTGCAGGCGCCATGGGAATGACGGTTACTGCTGTCTCCAGGGAAATCTCTCCTTACCTCTCTGAGGCAGCCCTGCTCTGTGGTCCTGAGACCGTGCATAAGGCACGGTGTTGGGAATGACCACCCAAAGGCCCTCACGAGGGCACTACAGTTTAGACTCAGCACCCCTTTGTGATCTCAGCGACTTCCCTTTGCAGCTCCACTTTCCTCATCAGTTAAATGATCACAATAAACAACAGTACCTACACTTCCTCTGGCTACCTGAACCTCAAGCCGTGGAGAATGTTTAGCCAATGTCTGGCACTGTTAAGAGGCCAATAAAATAAATGCCTACCATTACCCCATTCCTTGGACAGATACTTTCTCAGGGGATTCTCACAGCCTTATAGACATTCTCACCCATTATAGACAGGGAAACTAGGCTCCTCTAAGCAGGTTACCACAAGTCAAGGAGGCCAACAGCAAGATTCAAGCTCCTGACTCCCATTCCAAGGGTCTTTCCACTGAACCCTATGGTCACCCGAAACAAGGGCTTTGGGGTCTCTGTGGTGGCCATGGCCTGGGGAAGGGTAATGGTGCAGGCAGGCTGAGGCAGACCTCACCGAGGAGAGAACATGTGTGAACACACTGGCACTTACAGGAGTGCTTCAGCTCGCCGTTCATCCTGGTGGTAGGGTAGCTGCTGTCTGCGTCCTCATAGTAGCCATCCACAATGGAATGGGCTGGGCTGCTGCCATCTGTGGGGTGGCCAGAAAGAGCGGAGCTGCAGAAATGGGGGCCGACTCTTGGGGCAGGGCTGGACATGGATACCATGCCCCTTCGCGGGGAAGAGACAGGGAGCTCAGGGCAGCCCCAACCTGGGCGTGGGGACTCTTTCTAGTCTGCTCGGCTTCTCCACCTGCCCTCTGTGCCCCTGGCACCAACTTCCCTCCTGGGCCCTGTCACACCCCCAGGCCTGAGATCATGCTGTTCCCTGTGCTCTCTTATCTTCTACCAGAAAGCTCCTACTCATCCATCGTGACCCAGCTCACGTATCTCTCCTCTGACCATGCACAGTGGTGAGTGGTTAGAGACTCCTCGGTGACCCCACTGTGTGTGTGTGGTTGTGGGTGTTTGTTTTGGTCATGGCTCTAAGCCCTGCACTTCAGAGTGCTGTACCAGCTTCGTGGGCTCAGACCTCCCCCTTCCTGCCCTCGCCTTGTCTTCTCCCAATATGTGCACTCCCCCGACTTGTACTCCAAACTTACTTCCAAACCTCTGGTGCTACAAAGGGCAACTGGACTAGATAATAATAACGCATGCAGCAAGGACTTCTGTGAGAATTCACTGGGGCTGGGAGGCCCAGGAGCACCATGCTGCAGTTAGCAGGAATCTCAAACTGGGTTCTGCATCTGATTTGCCTGGGGGTTGCCCCGGAATGCAGATCTCCGGGCAGCATCCCTAGGCATTGGATGCACTGGAGTGAGTTGGGCTCAGGAATCTGCTTTGGAAAAAAACTATCTGATAGGAAAATTCTAAACATACATAAAAATGAAAAATGTATTGAACTCTAATGATTTGGAACAAATTTCATTAAAAATTATTTTTGAAAGCTGGGCGTGGTGGCACACACCTATAATCCCAGCACTTGGGAGGCTGAGGCAGGAGGATCACCATGAGTTCGAGGCCAGCCTGAACTACAAAGGGAGACCCTGCCTCCAAAAAAAAAAAGGACAAAAATTATTTTTGAATATGCATAAGGTTTGATGTAGACAGTCCCTAAGGCGCAGCTGGACGTGCAGCTGACGTGGGGAGTTGAGTTGAAGGCCTTCTCCACTATCTGCTACGCGACCTTGGGAAGAACAGTTTTCCTGCAGTGCACTGTGTGAAGTGAATGGTTCCCCTGGGGCTGGAGATACCGTACCCATGTGCCCAGTGCACAGAATGTACACAACAAGTGCCAGCTATTGTTATTATTGTTTCCTTTGAGTCCTACAAACTGGGGAGTTGGATTCAGCCCATTTTATAGACAAGAAAACAAGCCCCACACAGCCTGCTAGTGACAGAGCCTGGGGGCAGAAATGCAGTTGCCAGCACGGGGGTGGGTGCACAGCCCTTCCTCCAGGAAGCCTTCCTTCCCCCAGTCCGACTCATCACGCTGTTCCTCAGCGCTCTCTCCTGGCTCCCAAGCTGCTCCTGTCCATCTGTTTCCTGAGGACAGTGGCGCTGAAATTCCCAGTGACCGGGATGCTCAATTCTATCTCCCCAGTGAGGCTCAGAGCCTGTCTTGGCCAGCAGGTGCTCTGAGGGCTCAGATGCCAGCCACCCTCCCTGTGAGGTGGACGGGGGGTGTTGGGGCCAAGCATGTGATGGGGAAGAGGGAAGGGACGCGGGGCAAAGCACTCCAACACCTGGCCGGGCTGGACCCTGGGAGAGGAAGGATACTCCCTTACGGGGGCCCTGCCCTTCCTGAGGCCCTCCCTCTTCTCCAGCCCCAGTGTCCCCGCTGCTCCCAGGAGGGTGCTTCTTGGCCTTGCCTGAGAGGGAAGTGAGCTCTCTGGGAAGGTGGAGGAGCCTCAGGCCCTCAAGGGGCTCAAGTGGCTGACTCGGGCTTGGGGCCCAGAGAGCCTCATCCCTTCCTTCCTCCCCTGCTTCCCATGGATGAAAGAGCTGCTTGCAGTGACACAGAACTTGAGACCTGCAAGGCCTCAGAGATCATCTGGTCCAACCCCACAATAGCCCAAAGTGGAGACAGCGCAAACGTCCATCAGGTGATGGGCGATGAACAGTGTGGTATGTCCACACAACAGGACATGTTCAGCTATCATGCTCCAACATGGATGAACATGGTAAGCATCATGCTAAGCAAAAGGCCACATATTATACGACTTCATTGATGGGAAGTGTCCAAAACAGGGAAATACATGTGGATGGAAAGTAGACTGGTGGTGGTGAGGGAGCGGGGAGCTAGTGTTTGATGGTACAGTTTCCTGTTTGGGTGATGAAAACGTTTGGGAAGAGATGGTAGAGATGGCTGTACAACACTAAGTGTAAGAAATGCTGCTTGTTAGACATTTTAAAATAGTGAAAATGGTCAATAAAAAATACTTGCCTGTGGTAAAACAAACAAACAAACCAAAAACACAAACGGTACAAAGAGTATGAATGGAAGAATATATTCTCTTCACCCAGATTTCTCTTTGAGATGGGGGTCTCACTATGCTGCCCAGGTCAGTCTCAAATTCCTAGGCTCAAGAGATCTTCCTGCCTTAGCTTCCTGAGTAGCTGGGAGTCCGATGTGCACTCCCACACCGGCTCACCTAAGAAGCACATTTCTCAGATCATGCATCAGGCTGACCTGTTGTTGTTGACATGCTGGGGATGGAGCCCAGGCCCTCAAACACACTAGGCAAGTGCTCTACTACTGAGCTACACCCTAGCCCTGCACCCAGATTTCTGTTTACTTCCTGCAGGAAAATTCTGTTAGCAGTTTCTTGCATATCCTAGAAAGATTGTTAAAACGAATGCACAAGTATGTGTGAGTATATTTAAAAAAACAGGTAGAATCATGTTACATGCAGCATTGTGTGTTTGATTTTTTAAATGATCATATCTTGGAATTCATTTCTGATCAGCATGTGCCTGGTTTATTTATATTCTGTTGGCTAGAGAATATTCCACTATGGTGCTGGATGACAGGGAAGCCACACACCAACATTATCATACAAATGCAGCTATGTATGCTGGGTCATCCAAAACCTTCAATGCTGTTCTCTGTAGGTAATATTAAGTCCCCATACTCAAGAAAGTGACTTCAGCTGACCCTCAAAGGAGACACCTGGCACTACACTGGGGGAAACTGGTGGGAAGAGTGTGGACTGTAGCCAACACTAAGAGATTTTCAAAGGTAATCTGTCCCACTGCCCCCTAAATAATTTTACTGAGCCCACCTACCAACAAAAATATGTACATAGCATTTTTATATTTGTGTGTAACTTATATACATATATAAACTATAGTCAAGTATTATGTGAGTAGATTATAAATACTATAAATCATTCACATAGAATTTTTAAAGAGATTTGTTCACTATCTTACAAATCCCTGGGGTGGGCCCAGTGGCTTCTGAAGACCTCTGGTTTAGAGCAGGTGCCCTAGCTGACCTGTTGACTCAGTAAGCTAACCCACCCAGATGTGATTCTGCTGAGACACAAGTGATCTGGTAGAGAAGAGCAGTGGGTTGAGTGGCAGTTGCCATGTGTGGCGCCATGCTGCCTGCATCCTAGCACACTTCTAGAGCGTACCTCATACCTCTTGCTTTAAGGGTAGAGGAATGGAGGTCCAGAGAGGAAAGGGGGCCCACACAGATCTAAGACCAGCACCCAAGCTTCTGGACTCTGGGACATGCTCTGTGGTCCATCACCTGGCAGTGAGGAAGCCAGGAGCTCAGGAGCCCCTCCTAAGAAAGGGACATTGGGGCAGGGGCCAGGCATGGCGTTCTGCCCCTGCAGGGCACACAGGAGCTCAAATTAGCTTTTCAGGGAGGAAAAGTGTGTGACCCCAGGGCACTTGAACTTACTGTGGGAGCTGATATACTCAGGAGACTTGCCAGGTCCCAGAGGAAGGGCCTCCTCATAGTAGTCCTCCGGAGGAGGCTTGTTGGGCAGTGGCGGAGGAGGGTTGGCTACCTGCAGGGGACAAAGAAAGTGTGTGAGACTGAGAAAGCTGGAGAGCAGGCGTAGCAGGAAGGCAGGAGGCTGGTGGAGGGGAGGCAGGGGTTCCTAGGAGGCAGGAGGGTGTCTGAATGCAAAACTATAACTTTTTCCCCCCATGAACAAAAAGTCTTTTAATCATACGAACACATACAATTTATTATACTTTCACAAAAAATTTACGTACAAAGTTGAGTTTTCTGAAATGGCCTTCTGGTGGTTAATACTATACTGATGCTACATGTTAACATTTTGTACTGGAGAAATACTGTGGCATTACAAACATTTGCTAAGAAGTAGTGTCGTGTCCTCCTTTTTTTCTTTTTTTCTTTGGTACCGGGATCGAACTCAGGACCTCAAGCTTGCTGAGCTAAATCCCCGGCCAGGTCTTCTTTTAACAACTGGGCAAAGCTATAACTTTTAATCCAGTCAAGGGCATATTTGTCCTGTGCATTTTTGCCCAATCTTTTAGCACCAGGGCTCCTATGTAATTTCTGAAAGTCTTGTGGGCTGCAGAAACATGGTAGTCATACTTTTGTGTGAGTACGTGCAGAATGATCAAAAACTACCATGAGTTCTGCAACACCTGACCACCACATCTATGCGCACATGAGTAGGAGGACTATGAAGTGTGAGGCATATCACTTAGTGAGGTAGAATCACCCAGCAGTGAAGAGCTTAGGCTTTGGGGCCATGGGAACTGCAGCTTCACAGCTAAGTTCTGTCTCTTACTAGTTGTGGGCCATTAGGCATATCGCTTTCCCTTCTGAGCCTCAGCCCCCTCATCTGTGAAATGGGGATAACTCATGTGTGAGTGCCTCGCTCACTCAGGTGCTGTGTGCATGGGAAGGACACACATGTTCTCCACTCTTGGGGCCACTGACAATCACTTGTGCAGCTGCCTCTAATTCTGCGACTCCAAGGTTGGGAATCCTAGATCTCGGAATCCAATCCTTCATTTTGTAGGTAAAAATCTCAAGCCCTGAGAAGGGAAGTGATTTTCCCAAAGCCAGGCAGCAGAGGAATGAGGAGGGCAGAGGCCACCCAACCTCTGGCCCAGAGCCTTTCCCAGCACCTGCATATGCAACCTGAGGCCGGGGTGGTGCTGTCCTTTGGGCCTGAGGGGCCACACTCTTCCTGCTCAGCAGGAACGCAGTAAGCACGATGTTGCATGCTGAAACCCTGACACGGTGCTATTCCTGCCCTTAATGACACCTGGGAGAGGGAACAGGGTCCTGTGCAGCCAGGTGGGTCCCTGCTGTGATGGAGAGAGGGGCTGAGGGGCTGACTCACAGTTCTCAGAGGTGGGCTTTCTGCTGGCTCAGGGCTCATTCCTTTGCTGGGCTCCCCGTCCTCCTCTGGCATGTCCCGGAGGTCACTCAGGTCACAGTCTACCAAGGGCAGTCAGGTTGTTGGGCACAGAAAGCCAAGGATGAATATGAAAGAAGGTGGCTGAGGGGGGCTGGACTTGGGGTCTACGGGCCTGCATGTGAGGCTGGGTGCTACCACCTCCTCCACTGGTAACCTGGGCCGGTGCCTTCATCAACCACACACCTAGGACTACCCTGTCACCTGGCCACACTAAGCCCTGCCTTGTCTGTCTTCAAGGATTATCGAGAGGATTAAGTATGATAATCTCATACGGGGCTCTGGAGATTTTTGAGGGCAGTGTTACGAAGGCACCGTGTTTCCCTTGAGTCTGTCAGTCCCCAAACTGCCCAGGAGCACCTAGACTGCAGGTCTGGCCCCATGGCGAACACTGCTCTCTTCCTGCAGGATGGAGCCCAGGCAGTGGGGACCCTCCCACACCTTTCCCAGGCTGATGCCAGTCCCAGGTAGCCGCCACCCTTCTGTCACAGTTCTCATTTCTGGTGAGCTGCTGGACTACTCAACCCAGGCTTCAGGAAGCCATGGCTGGCGGCTGGCAATGGCTAGTGAGATAATCACTTCTGTGTGGCGCTCTCTGGCTCCCAGATTTGTCCCTACTGTTCCCCAAATCTTGGGGATGATTTCCTGTAACTCCAGATTCTGATTATATTTTCAGAGCTGGCAGGGCCCAGAGAACTCAAAGTGACTTAATGCCACAGTGTTAGAGCCAGGCTCAACCAACCCAGGGGCACTTCAGTGCACACGGTAACAGACGGCTTCGTGGTGGAGATTAGGAGAGGCTGCTTACCAAACTCTTCAAAGAGGGACTCCACGAAGCTGGGCCCCGAGTGGAGGTCTGCAGTGTTCACATACAAGTAGGAGACTTCCTTTGCTGGAGGAAGGAGGAGACACTGGCATGAAGAGGGGAGGGACCAGGTCTGTGCCACTGGGACACAACACTGTTTGCAAAGCACATTCATATCCCGTTATTTCTGTTTTTCACACTTTGCTATCATTTTCACACTGTGACTGAGGGTCTCTGTCTTCAAGCAAAGGGATGCCCAGAAGTCTAGTATTATTGGGCTGCTCTGGGGTTGACAGGGGACAGGGCTCTGGTGAGCAGTGGGAAAACCACTACCCCTCTCATTCTGTCAGTGGTCCTGTGAGGGCAGCAGGTGACCCAATGTCACCTGTTTTGGGGGACTGAGACTCAGGGTCACCCAGGGGTGACTTCCCACTATACCCTTCAGATTCCCTGAGCACTGCAGGACATAGGTACAGCTCTCAGGGTTTACTGAGACATACTGTGCTGTCAACAGACTTGGGGTGTCCAGGAAAGGCTGGAGCAGGAGAAGAGGGCATGCTGCTGGGAAGACAGGACTGTGGACCTAGGGAGGCACTGGCAAGGATGTGGGGGAGGCATGTAACGCACGTGTGTCAGAGGGTGAGCAGGAGTGCATGTCTGTGTAAGCAGTGTAGGAAGTGCACACGTGTGTGTGCTGTGGACCTGCCTGTTGCAGGGCAGAGTGTTTATGTGTGAGCATGTGCTATGTGAAGTGCAGTATGTTAGTGTGGTTGCATGTCATGTGTGTGAGCATGTGGCATGTGTGAGTGTGCTGTGTTGTGTGTCGTGTGTGGGGATGTGTGTGCAGTGTGTATGTGTTCTGCATGTGTAGGTCTGTGGAGAGCTGGGGATAGAAGAGGACAAAGAGCATGGGCAGAACTGTGGTGAGGAGCAGGGCCCAAGCAGGTGAAGACACTGGGCCAGATCATGCAGAACTCACCAAGGCACAAGGCTTACACAACTTCCCAGGCCCTGGGGATACTGACATACCCTGGGAGGGAGATGCTGCTGTCTCTGTGAGTGGGGTTCTCTGGGGCTCACCTGGGAGGGGCTGCAGGCTCTGCAGGATGGAGGCCACTGCCATCTTCTTCTCCAGTGTGCTGTCACTTAGGTCCTCATTGTCCAGGAGGCTGAGCAGCCCAGTGAGCTCTGGGAGCAGCTGCTCCAGCACTGGGGAGGAAGGCCAGGCCACGGTCTTGGCTCAGGGGCCAGGACCTGGCCCTCCCCACCCACCCACCGGAAGCCAGGGCAGTGGTGGCCAGAGGACGGGGCTTGGTGTGCCAGGGAGACATAAGGGCCTTCACACAGCTGTCCCAGTACTGACCACCAGCCTCCCATGGAGGGTGCTGCTCATCACCCTGTGGTACTCCTCCAGCCTCCCCACTCTGCTTCAGCCCTCAGAGGGCCACGGCTGGAAGGCTGGACCTCCCCAGATTCACCCTGGTGACTCTGATCCCAGGCACCTAGGCCTCCTTTTGTCCCACCCTGCTCTCAGCTTCGCCTGCCTAGCGGGGAGGGGGCGCTACATGCAGGTCTCAGGCCAGAGCCCTTTGCTGTCCAGGACATAGGCAGGAAGGGAGCCTTCCTGTCCCATCGGTTCATATGCTTCAATCTCTGGAACCTTCTGTTTCCGATGCCTTGGCCAGAGCCAAACTAAACATTAACCCTTCCTGTGCCACGGCTCAAATGATCAATGAATTTTCTCTATGTTTATACCAGCGCTTCACAAACCTGAGTATGTACAGGAGCCACCTGGGGATCTTGCCAAGATGCAAATTCTATCCCACCTACTCATGTGGGACCTGAGATTCTGCATTCCTGACAAGCTCCTAGGTCCAGGATGATACTAAGTCGCAAGATCCTAAAGCACAGAGTCCTTTAAAGACTGGAGCATGCCAAGACCATGAGGTCATTGATGTCTCCCTATCCCAAACAGTAACTTGGAACTTGGTTTGCCTTAGAGCCAAAGGCCAACTTCATCACAGTAAAGTAACTTCTACTTTGTGATTTATCAAGCTTTTGTTCATGGTCATAAAAGCTAACCTGCGTTGAACAGTTATCATGAGCGGTGTTAAGCCCTTCATGCTTCTTGTATCATTTTAACCTAAAATATGTAATTTGTAATATGTAACAGCTTATTATCTCCATTATAAGGAAGATTAAACCAAGGCTCACGGAGGTTAGCCACTTAATGGTTTACTGCAAGCATCACTTGGGCAGTGCATTTATTTATACTACACTCAGTGTTGCTTGAGCAAGTGTTGAATGTTTTAAGATATACCATACACAGAAAAATTACTGAGTAAATGTGATAAAATTGTCATTTTTATATTCCTGTTATTTTATAGAAATTTATGAAAATAGAAAAATATGCACTTTTTGGTCATCCTATATTTAAATTGGACTGGTAAGCAGTTAAATGACTTCTCTAAGGATACACAGCTAACAAAGTCTCAACTGCATCTGCTTTCCTCACCCTATTCTCTTTTAACCATAGGATAATGTTGCCTTGCAGCATTGTACTGGATCTCACCAAGTTTTGAGGTAGGTCCCAAGACCTCCCCTACTTTTTAAATAAAGAAACGCTGAGGGGTAAGCAACGTTGTTGAGTTACACAGAAGTAAGTAGTAGGGCCAGGACTTCCACTGCAGCCAGGGTCCTTAAGTCTGTGTGCTTCTCTCCGCCCTGAACCCTGAGGAAGCAGGAGTGTCTGACATGAACCTGCAGGGTCTGTGACACGAGCACTTCTTGCCTAAGAGAAGCATCCCTGGAGCCTAGGTTCAAATTCAGGCTCCATCATTCATTAGCTGTGGGATGTTTGTCGAGTTATTTAACCTGAAAGTGACTCAGTTTCCTTGTGAAAGGGGCTAACAGCACTGGCATGGCAGTGCCTCGGCTGGCTCAGAATAGAGCTCCTCATGAGCCAGTGTGTCTTGCTGTTGCTTTGGACTTTCCTCTGCTGCTGTGTGCCATGCAGATGGCCCAGTGTCCAACTCCCTCAGTGGGGACTGAGGCTTGGGGGGTGGGGCTGGACTGCAGATCTTGGCAACTTAGTGTGTGGAGTGGGGCCTGCCCAGTGAGGGGCCTCCTGTGTGTGTTCCATGAGAAGGGATAAACAGGTGGCCAAACTTGGACTTTCTTTTTCATAGAAATCTTCTGTATAGATCAATGATGGCGAACCTTTTAGAGCTTTCAATGATAAACAGCCCATTGCTGCACATGTGCCATAGGTTTGCCACCACTGGTACAGATAGTGGCAGTGCTGGGAATACCTGACAATGCTGCTGTTTCTCTGTGGCATTCCAGCATCACCCCAGAGTGGTGGAAAACAGGCCAAAGACTGATGATCCAATGGACTCATGGGTGCTCCCTGCTGCTGGGCACAGAGCTGGTGGCTTTCTGACCAATTTCCTCTCGGGGCATCTGTGAGGATACCTATTTCCCAGGACGTGCCACTGAGGCTCAGGGAAGCTAAGAGACAGTCACATAGCTTTGATCCCAAGAGCCCCTGGGCTGTACAACTTCAGGGGTACTACTGGCCCCAAAAGGAGCCTAGAGAGCTTTGTCCCCAGGCCCTGAGCCCCTATGAGCCCCAAAAGTCAAGGTTCTGGATAGGCAGGCTCCTTTCTTCAGAGCAGAAAACTGTTCAAACTCATTCCAGCCAATCTCGAGCTGTCTGGAAGGAATCTTCAAATGGAACCATGAACCTGTCCAGCATCCTCAGGGAAACACCAAATGTCAGATAACCCAGCTTTAAAACATTTACTGAGCACAAATTATGTGCCAGGTTGGACCACTTTGTGGAGCTAGGAAAAATGCAATACTGTCCTAGTGGGCACACACACACATACACACACACACGACTCACAAGGCAGACACTGTGGGGTACTCAAGAGCTTGCCAAGGCCTGCAGCAGTGATTTATATTTGAAAATTCATGACGCCGCTTTGTTCTCACACACTGATGTCACAGCTCTGGGGGTGCTGGGTGGTTTAACACTATTTTAGGCATTCTGAAACTTTTACACACTGCATACTTGGGAAAATGAGAATAAATAAGGTATGTAATGTCTTAGTACTGTATAAAAGTAGTTTTGGCCTTGTGAGCATTTTGGGGAGACCCCAGGTATCCCCATAGTCAACCACATTTGATGCTTAATGTAAATGACAGCTGCTGCCAGCATGAAGGACCTCAATTTGCTAAAGTTGATTGGTTTCTTAAGTTTCTCTTTCTTTCCTTTCTTCTCCCTTCTTCCTTTCCTTTCCCTCTGTTTCTTTCTTTCCTTCTGTCTCATTCTTTCTTTTTGCTGTGAAGTTCCAACCATTTCTTGCTGCTATCAGTAGGTACCTGGGCCCAGCAGAATTCCAGCTTCTTAATGCCATACTGTGCTGCTCCTAATATAAGCTTGGCTACCACTGTTTCTGAATAAGAACAATTAGGTTCTGAGTGAATTTTCTGCATTTATCACCTGAATTTTAGTATCCAAGCTTCATAATACCATTTTATGTTTCCTTTTTGGTCTTTGATGGGATTCTTCACACGGGACCTTCACCTAAGTGCTTTGCATTTAACAGAGATATGATAAACTAAGTTCAAACAGACCAGCGGAGAAGGAGGGGCTGAGTGAGTCAAGGAGAAGCGGATGGAGAGTGAGGGGTGGCACTCAGTCCTGGTGGCAATTTCTGCAGCCAAGAAGGAACTGGTGGGCAGCAGGGGCAGAGGGAGCGTGAGTCATGGAGCAAAGCTCAGCCTGCAGGGATGCATAAGATCCTCTGTCTGGGGCTGCACGGTTATGTACACTGGGCAGTTGCTGTTCATCATCTTACCCCATCCTCCAATGACTTACAAAGAATGAAATGCAGGCTAAGAGAAGTGAAGTTTCTCAGCCAGTCTGTGGTAGAGCCAGGCTGTGAACCCAGGTCATTCTGTCTTCAAAGCTTGAACCTTGCACCTGAATCTTGCACCAGACAACCTCAAGCCCAGCTTAGCCCCAGGTCAGGGGAGGCTATGCCAGGGTGGGAGGGTGCTGGGCTTCCTCTTAAAGCTGCTCCTCTAGGGCTCTGACACAACTTTGCTGAGGCTCTGACTCTTCCATTGGGGATCCCTGGGAGACCCTATGGTAGCACTGAGATTCTCTCTCCCCACTGGGTCTATATGAACATCATAGCCACTGTGAAGACCTCATAGAAGAAAAAGAAGCAAATCCTTGACTTAATGGTGGGGATCTTATCCCAAGGAGAACTTTATATGCATCATGGATGTAAGAAACCTTTCAGCCAGTGCTGGGCTCTGCCAGAATCACACAGAGCTCACCAAGAGGCTGGCTCTGAAACATAGTGAATACAGAAATGCTTTCCAAGACGGCTTTGTGTGAAATGCTGGAGAAGCCAACCACGGAGATTTAAACCACCAGGGAATTTAATACAGACAGAAGCCTTATGGGTATAATACAAATGACAAATGATTCTGCCATGGCTCATGTATACCACCAGGACAGCAGCCTCAAATTTTAGAAAAAATAAGAGTCTTCTGGGTTTGTTGGAAATGAAGAGTGATTCAGTACTGTACTGGGATTCAAGAATCTGCATTTTAACAAGTATACCTGGTGATTGTATTGTAGATAGTCTAAGTGTCAACTTTTGCAAAATACTTCACAAAGATGCTTACAGGGGACATCTACAAATATAAGGAATGTGGGTACACCTCTCAAATTCTTTAAGAAATTATTGGTCTGAGAAAACAATGCCCAGACAATACAAGTCTTTACAGAAGATGATACACAGCTGGAATATGAAGTCTTGCTTTAATCAGTCATGGTAGCTAGGGCTTTGGAGTCAGACCCATGAATACCGGGATTCTTATACTGCCCCTTCCGAACTGTGCTGAGTGCTGGTTTTGTCATTTGTAAAATGAGAATAGTAGGAGCCCAACCTCTTGGGCTGGGAGGACTAGGGAAGGCAATGCTTGTAAAGCACTTAGCAAAGGTGCTGTGCCTAGAGCAAATAACTCAATACATGATAGTATATTGCATATTATTATTGTCACTGTTGCTAGTCTTAATATTCCCCAGAACTATGCAGACTCCAAAGTACCAATCAGAGAGTATCTGGTGACAGATGTGCCATTGTAACAAGCTCAGTGAGGACAAGGGCTGTGTTTGGATCAGCACA